TTGCAAGAACGCTGTTAAGACTGACTCTGGTCTCCCCTACTTTAATCTATATTTATAAAGTGATCAATCATTTAACTTCTACCTGGTAGCAACTCATAAAATCAACAAATAAGTGACTGGGTTATGTCAGAATTATAGGTTTGAATTGTGTAAACATCAGGGCCAATAACCAGCTGAACGTCTGCAGGTGGAAACAGGCCTGATATCAAACCAAGAACTGGCCAATGAAATTTAAGTTTGCTCCACTACTAAAATATCCAAGATAAACTTCAAAAATACTCGCATTTTTTCTCTTTAAATCTCATAATCATATTTTGTCCAGCTCTCATTAAGAAGATAAGATGAACTTCAATCCAGAACCATGGCCACAGTGTCAGTTTCCACAGCCTGAGACTCTGAAATTGTCCAAACGAGCAAAACTAGACCGAGATTTAACAAGCTGCATCACCTGTCCAAACTGTCCACAGTCCACGCGTAGACACGCGCACGTACACACGCATACATGAGACGGACGCATGCACTCGTGGATCAGTGTGTGGTTAACTGTGCTGCAGAGATCTGATGCTGCAGGAGGGAGGAGGAGGTTAAAGATGGCCTCCTTCATTGTGTTTGACAGAAAGTCGCAGTTTGATGGAGTGGAGTCTGTGAGAAGAACTCAAGTGGTCATTTCCAAAATCAGACAAGATAGGAAAAAACACGCTCACTAATTTTCCTCTCTGCGGAGTTCATTTCTCAACCGAGAAAATCAGATTACAGGACAACATTTTAATAATTTATTATTGTGGCGAAACACTAACTGCGGTCTGGACTTCTAATTTTGCAGATTTGTAAACTAAGATTTAAAGTCACGGTTTGAAACAATCGGCATATTTGTCTTTAATGCCTGTACTCCATCATACACGGTTTACAGACAGCTGCTTAAATACACTGATCACATGAGCTGCCCTTCAAAATAAAAGGCCGCAGACAAGAAATGATTTCGATTCATCACTGAGCTGAACGGTTCAGTCTGGATTCATGATGGACTAATGTGGTCGTGTTTTGAATAACCACTGTTGTAAATGTAATATAGTGAAAATTGATGCTATTTAAAACCAGAAAGAAACCAAAATCTGTCCTCATAAAGGTGTTAGAACTGATAGATAATTAAAAACTATTTTTATGGAATCAAAAGGAAAGAAAATCCTCTGAAGTGGCTCAAAATTAAGAAAACTAATTTGTTAAATGTGTTTATGTTTTGCAAAATGTAGAGGTGTAACACTGCATGAAGCCGAGAGATACGGACTGCAGAGATGAGGCTGTGCTGTGTTGTTGTCTGTTGTGTTGAGCTGGTTTGTTACTGAGTGTTTCTCCCATTTTTTTCTTTATTTGGTACCTCGTGTGAATGTTATTTGAAAGAAGTCAAAAATGATTAAAAAAAGAAACCAAGAAAGTCTGCAGAAGGATTTCATAAGGACACTCACCTCTCCGACATAAATCAACATAACAGCATCAATGTTGGAATCTGTCCACAACTGGAAGATATTTATGTTTGTTTTTTTGGATGAAAATCAAACATAAATATCTTCCAAAATATCTGACAAAATTTTACAGAGTCTCACTTTTAGGAAAAATATTGGTCCTCAAAAAGGCCAAATCCAGGTTTCAGTGAAAATTAAAGCTTTATGAAACAACACTGTAGAGCACAGATGGTGTGCTTTCAGATTTGGCCTTTCAGAGTGGTATTGGTGTATTTTTGAGTTTGAATACAGACGAGCTTTCGCAAGTTTTTTTGTAGATTATTTCATATTTTGTCCCATTTGAAGCTAATGAAACAGGGGCCTTAGATGCTCTCAAATCCATGCAAAGAAGGCCCCTGCTGGTTAAATGTTTGTAATGATCCTCAAAACCTTTAGAGGAAACATCAGCCACAGTGGAAGAGTTTCAGATTGAAGTCTAAAAAGGAACAAAAAGGACCCCAAACAAATCATATCTCAACATTTTTTATTATTCATCTTTGACCCCGCTGAAGTGCCCTCTAGCAAACACCTCCCCTCTCCTCTCCTGCCTGTGACCCTGACCTTTGACCTCCAGGTGGGCCAGCGCACACCTTACAGATTCTCCGAGAAGCACCGGAGCATCCCCTCACTGTGATCACAGTTATTTGTTGTGTGACCTTGCTGACGATCACATGAGCTCACTGTTTCCTCTCCATCACCTGTGCCGTGCGTAATGCTGCTGCTGCTGCTCGTGTTTCCTCCAGTCTGCCTCTCCCTCCCTCTCTCTCTCTCTCTTTCTCTCTCTCTCTCTCTCTCTTAATGGTTTCATGCAGGAGCGAGTTGGCTTATTATACTAAAAGGTTTTGTCGCGCTAAGCCGTGCATGTGTGCTTAAAACGTACATTTCATTAACAAACTGCGGAGGAATAAAAGCGGATTTATGAGGCTTCAAAAGATCACAGGAAGGACGCGTTTCAAACCCCCTCTCGGTGCTGTTTCAGGCGGGTTAGATCAGCAGTTACACCGCCTTTCACACAACACTGCGACTCTGGGAGTTTTCAGTTGGAGATAGGAGGCTGGCTGCACCTGTCTCTTTCTCTCTCTGCACACTCACACATTCACACACACATACACGGGGAGGGAGAAAGAGAGTGGGTGGTTAAAGCAGGAGGCTCTTTGACCTTGTGGTTTCTCAAAAAATGCCCAAAATGGCAAAAACAAACCAAGCAAAGTGTGTCTCACAGAGCTCTTTTATTAAACTGTAATAAAACATAAAATTATCCGGCTTTATAAAGCATCAGACATGAGCGTTTGGCTCCATAAAAACCTTTCAGTTCAGAGGAAGAAAGCATTTGTGATTTATTATACCAGTGATATCAAAAGATTCCTGTGGCTTTTGAAGAGACGCACGAAACTGGCAAAACTCTGCACAAATATGGCTTACATCTTCCATGTGATCGTTTCCCCTCTGGAATGAACACCCTCTGAACATGAGAAAGACATAAAAGTTAATTTTCATCCTGTTTGGCGGCCTAAAAAAAGACCGAAATCTGATGGAAACATCTTTGGCCAGAAGAAAAAGTTGCCTGTGATTCCATTGTTAAATCAGTTGGTATTGACGAAGGTGCGAATCACGCAGATCACAGAGAGATTAACACGGGGAGACTTGTTTTCATCCTTTGACTTCATTATTAACTATGAGGTCTGATTAATCCAGGAGCAGAGGTGTAAAAGCAGCATCTCTGCGCGCTGATGGAGGCCGTGAAAACATCAGGTTTGACCTCAGAAATATAACGAACCAAGATTTTCGAGAAAAAGAGATGGGCCACATGGATGAATTTGGGGAAAACGTTTGTTTACTGTTGTATTTAACGCTATTTTTACATCATGTTTTATTCTAAATGTGCAACAATAAATTGAAATGTAAAAATTCATCTCCTGGAAATATGTAAATCATCTCCTAATTTAGAAAAAATGAATTAATTGCAGCGTATTTTTATTTGTACGTTTCAATTCATCCAAATAAAGATCTGCCGTGATTAATTGACTGCTGTTGATTATAGATAATTACATTAACCTTCTTAAAGACTTTCGATAAAATCAATTGAACGTTCAAATCGCGCGTGGCACACTTGAATAAATCTGTTTTTGCTCTCTCATGAATCCCCTCACTTTCCTCGACTATTTTCCTCCCAAATGTTCTCACACCGCCACCACGCAGGAAGCCCCTCACTCTCCGAGCCCAGCCTTCCCCGCTCACCTTCATGCTTGTGAATAAATGCTCTCTTTGCATTCCCCCGCTGCCCGCATTTCCTACTTTTTTCACATGTAAAATCGCGCAATGATCGGGGTCGTTAGCACCTCTTCAAACTCTTAAGGAAATTCTTTAGTCTCTCTCTCCTTTCATTGTCACTGGTGCTGCTGCTGCTTCTGCTGCTGCTTCTTAATATTCTTCCCACCTTCTGCTAATCCTGCGGGGATAAATAGACTTGGATTCACGCTTTGCATTCGCAGCTTTGGATGCACAAGAATGGCTTTAAAACAGGAAATATAATCCTTTACGCACCAAAAAATTGGTCTTTACGCACCAAAAAAAGTGGTTTTTACGCACAGTAACATGCACTCAAACTGGTCTAAATGAAAGATTCATGCATGCACGATAAAATAAAAGCAAAAACAGACACAAAATGAGAATTGAGTGAACTTATCTGACGTTGACTTAATTCTTCAGCCTTCCACGGATTTCAAAGTTTACGCTTTAGCTTTGTTTTTTACGCGGCGACGTTAATGCGCATCAGATCTTTCAATCACAGGCCAATTTTCTCTCCCCCCCTTCCTCCTCCCCCCTCCTTCTCTTCCTCCTCCCTCTGCCACCGTTAAATGGTCTATGACGGACGAACACAGAAATCAGCGGAAAGCAGCATTGCTGATGTCCCATTGTTGACAAATCCATGAAACAACTCCAGTTTGCATGGTTTAACAGAGAAGAGAGGAAAGAGAGGAGAGGAGGGCGCAGGGAGGGAGGAGAGGAGAGGAGAAGGAGAAGGGGGCGTGTGTCGTCACCGCACCACGTGGCCTGCACTGATAGTATATCTTATACTGGGAAAAGTAATCTATCAGACAGTCCTTTTAAAAGCTACGGCCTTTAAAAGCAGCATGTGTCACCTCGACTTGGCTCTCCAAATATCACTCCGGTAGGAAATACGCGCACAGAGAAAGGACGCCGGAGCGTAAAACACACCTCCAAACAACTTCGAGGCAGCTTTCCACCGGGCCTGCTCACTCACAGAGAGGAGAAATATTTCCAGAAGTTGAACTTTTCTTCCAGCCTGGCCGTCTTGCTGTCACTTTAATCGCTTTTAGGTTTTTGGAGACATCTGATCTCTTGACAGGAGCGAGCAAAAAAAGTCCAGGAGACACGGCGTGTGTGTGTGAGTGAGCGCGCACTGAGCCATCACACCCGGCTGATTTTGGCTCCAGCGAGACTTTTATTTTTTTAAAGAGAGAGTGAGGAAGCCGTGAGATGACCCTGTCTGGAGGCAGCGAAAGAGCCAGCGACATGTCCGGCCAAACTGTGCTCACGGCGGAGGACGTGGACATCGACGTGGTGGGCGAGGGAGACGAGGAGGGCATGGAGAGGGGGGACAGCGACTGCGACAGTCCCGGGGTCGGCATCCTGCACGACCTGCGAGGGGAACCGGGCGACGAGGAGGAGGTGGATGATGAGATCGAGGTGGAAGAGAAGGAGGAGATTGGGTCCGGCGGAGGGAGTCCGTGCTGCGAGAGCTCAGGAGAGGGAGAGGCGGGCACCGGGAAGGCAGAGGGTCATGAGCAGAGCGGAGCGCCGGGAAGCGGGCTCCAGAAGCCCAAGAGCAGTCTGGTGAAGCCGCCTTATTCCTACATCGCCCTCATCACCATGGCCATCCTGCAGAGCCCGCAGAAGAAGCTCACCCTCAGCGGGATCTGTGAGTTCATCAGCAACCGCTTCCCTTACTACCGAGAAAAGTTCCCCGCGTGGCAAAACTCCATCCGACACAACTTGTCCCTCAATGACTGCTTCGTGAAAATCCCCCGGGAGCCTGGCAACCCCGGCAAGGGCAACTACTGGACCTTGGACCCGGCTTCCGAGGACATGTTCGACAACGGCAGCTTCCTCAGGAGGAGAAAAAGGTTCAAGAGGGTTCAGCCGGACATGCTGAGGGACCAGACCGCGCTCATGATGCAGAGTTTCGGCGCGTACAGCCTCGGGGGCCCATACGGGAGACACTACGGGATCCACCCGGCTGCGTACTCCCATCCGGCAGCTTTGCAGTACCCGTACATCCCCCCCGTGGGCCACATGCTGCCCCCGGGCGTCCCTCTTCTCCCCTCGGCGGAGCTGAACAGAAAAGCGTTCAATTCCCAGCTCAGCCCGAGTCTCCAGCTCCAGCTCAACAGTCTGAGCACGGCCTCTATGATCAAGTCGGAGCCTTCAAACAGACCCTCGTTCAGTATAGAGAACATCATCGGGGTCTCCAGCGCGTCCTCGTCCTCGCCGGGCGCTGCTCAGGCGTTCCTGCGGCCTCCAGTGACGGTTCAGTCGGCCTTGCTGAGCGCGCAGTCCCTCTCTCTGACCCGGACCTCCGCCGCTATCGCGCCAATCCTCAGCGTGCCGTCAAATATCATTTCTGGACATGTTTTACCCTCAGCGACGGCGGCCGCGGTGTCCAAATGGCCTTCACAATGACTAAAACACGCGAGAAAATGAACTCTTATTTTTATATAAAGACATTCAAACGGCGAGGAGTGAGAGGAGAAGCACAAATGAAGAAGCAACACTGGACTCTGTAGCCATGTAAAGACTGTTGAACACAGAGAAAAAGAAAAAAGGAGATATTTCTGTACAGGTAATATTTGTAAATATTTGTAAAAACAAAAGATTTTACCTGTTTGACTTTTACCTGTCTTTTTGCTTTCGTTCCTGTTTGTGGTTTTTCTTTTTTATTGGAAGCTGAAGTGGACACATTTGTGCTTCCTTTTCATACAAGACACACGAAAAAGCTCTGAAAAATAGTCTGTTTATAATGATTAAAAAAAGAAGTCAAATATATGTAATTCTATGTAGCTATATTGTGTTGTAAACTGAATTTATTTGTAAATAAATCTGAGAAATACCTAAAATAAGTTTCCATGATTAACTCTCTTAAATTGTTGGAATGCAGGACCGTTCCAGGAGAAGCTTTGCTTTATTTATAAGAATAAATTCAACTGTAAAAGCTTAAAAATGAGATTAGGAAATTATGTTTTTAATTATTACACCAAATTTTAAAGATGGAGTGTTAGTTAGTCAATTTTAAAAATCATCAGGCTCACTGGAAATTAATTCCTTTAAATTTGGACCATGCTAAATGCCTTTAGATTAAATATGTGTGTGTTTTATCCATTTTTATTTCGTTATAGGGCTTTATATTTACATATAATCTATCTGATATTGAATTATATATCATTTTACATTAAATTAAAGTCATAGTATGACAGTCATTTTATATAAATATAAGGGAACTTCATAAACAGATCTGAAAAAGACTGGTTGATTATTGTTTACAAATTACGCACAAGTCTGTTGAATGAAATGCAGGTAAAATAACGATTATTAATTACAAAAAAGGACAACAAATGAATATGGATATGACATTTTAAAAAAAGAGTAAAATTGGGATTATTTGTCTGAAGAGAAAACATGTTTATCCTGACATGGAGAGAAAATATATGCCATTTTCAGACGTGGTTATTTGCGTAAAGTTCTCCCAAATAAATCTCGAGTTATAAATTAAAATAACACAAAATTTATGACTGAATAATGAAAGGGTATAGTGTTATTTTAACTAATATTGTCTGTAGTTTTTCCTGATGCCTCTGTCATGCTGGAGGTCACACTCTGCACACCTTTTAATCCTCGGTTACATCAGCGCGCCTCGGCTCGCTTTACGCGCGGCACATTCTGCGGCTCCCACACTATAAAGGTAACAGTTTCGCAGTTGTGTCTGGCTAATCACTTTTACACAAACAGCAAATGGTGCTCGCGCTCTTGCTGCCGCTGCTATGAGTGTGTATGTGTGTGTGTGAGTGTGTGTGTGCTATATTTATCTGATCCCCATGAGAAAGAGAAAGGAGCCTCTCTCTGCTTCAGTTCAGCTCAGACACCGGAGAAGGTGCTGATGATGCAAAAGGCTTCTCCAATGTCACCCTGGCATTTCATTCAGGAATATTATTTTTTATTACCTACATTATTTATCTGTTAAATTACAAGCACAAGCCCGAGAGTCTAATTGTCCTCTGTGCCGTTTATTATTCTCCCAATCATCATATAAATAATGTTGGAGGAAATGAGCAGAAATGCGCAAGTTTTTAACGCTGTTATGGTTCCTGCCTAATCTATATTACCATAGTTTTTATTACAACTCGGCTCTTATTTTTTATTAAAAGGAGAAAAGTCAAATAGGCCTTTTATTTACACACCCACTCCTACTGGCAGAGAGGTTTTAAAAGAGACGTTCAGGTGCCACCAGAGCTCACATTCAGGCTGCACACAAGCTGCTTTCAGACAGCGTTACATCTTTTACAAAAAGGTGTTTGGGATGATCTTGAATCTAACTAATTATGTTGTTTCCATCTATTTTTGATGAATGTATTTCCAGGAGAAAAAAAATCATGCAAGCATTTAAACATCAACTATATTTGATCATTCTCACCTCGGATTTTACGCATTTTCAGAAGCAATTCCAGCCACTATAAGGCAAAAACACGACTCTGGTGCTCAGGTGTTCATCCTCCAATCATCAGAGTGAATGCAGAACAATTAAAAATAATCACAGGATAATCTCAGTGTGGTGTCTGTGTGTGTGTGGAGGTGCTGGTGGTGATGCTGCTGCAGACCAGAGACGTTCAGTTTGGAAGGAGAAGATATTCAGGCCGCTAGGGGGCGTTCAGTAACACCTCGGACTTCTCAAATCAGAAATGAAAGAAATATAAAAGGAGGACAAAATTAAACTCCTGTCGTACTTTTGGATTTTTACTCTAGAAAATAATGTTGAATTGTTTAAGAGTATACTTCTTATTTTGCTGATTTAACAGAATTAAAACGAAGGACAATAAATAAATATCTGGTGAAAACATTGAAATCTTTTCCTAATAATAATAGACATGACATGGAAAATGATTTTTTCAGATCCTCTCAGTTTTTAGAAAACAAATAATTAACTATACACAGGCTTTTGGATCATATTTCCTCTCTGTGTGCGTTTGTCGTTCATATATGGCTGAAATTAAAGTTTGTATTAGCAGATTGAGGGTGATAAAAACATTGAAATATAGCAAATTCAATCTTACTTAAATTACACAAGATTATGCAGGTTTTTATATTAAAAAGTATTATATTCAATTCGACTATGGGGCATGAGGACGTTTATACAGAAAACATGACTGTAGGCCAGAAGAAAACGATCCATAGATTTGAATAAGAAAGATTATCCAGGTTTAAAAAAAAAAAACCCTCCACGGTTGAATTTTCTCTGTCAAAAATAAACTCACTTCTCGTGTTTTTCGTCAAAACTAAATCGTGCTGATTGGTTGAGACTCCCTCATTTAGAAGCGAAAGTGGGCGCGTCCACAGTCACTCACTCACGCACGCGCTCGTTAATGACCTATACAGCTGCACGTGCCCGTGCACAGGTGGAGAGAGTTCTGGTGGAAGGTTCCCACAGCTCCCACAGCCAGTCTACATTTCCCAGTCTGCAGCGGCTGACGAGAAAAGTTCACTGAGTGCGTTTGACTGTAAGTCAGCAGCTGTGAACTCAGACCCTTCTTCAATCTAATTCAATTAAACCTATTTAAATAAAAAAGACGGTGCATTTGGACTTGAGACATTTTCAGACGTCAAGTTTAGGGAGTATTTTTACTTTAAAAAAGGGAAGGCTTGAATGAGTGTGTGTGTGGGTATAGGGTCAACATAAGCCTCATGATGCTCAGAGTGTTGAAACAGATATCACAAAACAACAACACAAAGATAATGACACCTGTTTTTAGTGACCCACTCTAATCCTCCACATACTGACAATAAATATGATAGTCATGAGTTTGTGCTCTGTGGTTGAACCCACATTGGTCGATTATGATTTTAAGTTTTTCATGCTCTTAAAACTAATTTTGACATGAGACTAAACAGGCGTGTTCACTGTTGCAAATAACGGTTCCTGGCAGTGGAAATAGTTATTAAAGAGCCCATGTTTTTGTCTGTGGTGCAACCAATTTTTTTCTCTGCTCATTCACTCATCATGCCTCAAACTGTTGTCTTCTCTGTTTCGATACACCTGATTGAGCGGAATATTCACATTGCAGTGAATATCCTCAGTGTGATTAGCCCTAGTGTACGAAATGTAGTTTAAACAAATAACAGCAAACCAGTCAGGTTCATTGGTGATACATGTCAGCTGACGCCTCAAAGTCAATCTTCTATAACCTTAAAAAAAGACCAAAAAAAGCACTAATGATTTTTAAACTATCAAGTTACACTAGAAAAGACTAATGACCTAAGGACATATGGTCTTTATGGATTCTGGTTACAGTTTGTGAATAAAAAGTGCAGAAAGAGACACTTTGCACCTGTCCCAGAGCTCTTACAGGAAAAGATGCAAATTGTTTTGTTAAAGCAGCTGGAACCAAAAATGCTGGTAATTTCTGCTTTAAATTGTGTCCCATTTATATCTATAATATTAAGTGTCTAAAGATTAAGGCTAAAAAACCCAGGAGAAATGAAGAAAATGCTCTATCCTGTCTCATGCTTTGTCCAGAATTTAAAGGAATTAAAGTGTTTTTTTAAGAAAAGAAAAAAAAGCAAAGTAAAAAAAATATGAAAACATCAACCTTTTCAAAAATGTTGTTGATATTGTATTTCAAAACATATCCTCACTGGATTAGGAAAAGCAGGACTTTCATGTCGTGTCATATTGATTCTATTCTGTGGGCTGATTCCTCTTTCTGTCATGAAATTACAACTAATAACAAATAACAGGGATACCCTTTACTGCTCACAGTAAATACAACATATTCAAGTCTTACTTGGGTGATACCATCAAAAGCCAAGCATGGTGAGGCTTTTATATGTTGCTATATTTATAAGATAAAGAGCTATATTTGGGTAATAGTGTTTGTTATCTTAAGTTGTTCTGAGATTTTATACAAAATGTAATATTATCTATGTCTATATAGGATTAGAGTGACAGAATAGGATAATTTAAGCATTAAAAGTATACAACAAACAATCATAAGACCAAAAAATGGTCAAATTAGCCGAGTTATGAGAGTAGGCTTGACATGGAGCGCTGACTCAAATGATCCATCCCCCCAAAAAGAGAGATAAGTTCACCTCTACACGATCAGATATCATACAATGAGAACTTGCAGTCATCGTAGGAGAATAAAACAATTAGGATAATATTAAAGAGTATGTTTTGAATTCTTTACTGTGATTTTTTCTTGTATTAACAGGTAAACATGTGGCAAAACAGATGAAAAAATTCAGTTGGACTTTCTTTTTGTATGATGGAGTACTGTGGCATTGGGGGAGCAAGGCCCAGGCCTCCATAACAACTAGGTCATCCTCCACCACAAGCTATAGCCTTCTCCTGGGCGGAGATCACAGACAGTAAATGTAGGTACAGCAGTTACTGAATATTTAAAAAGGCATAGAGATGAAGCAATAAATGACAAAGTAAAGCTGGCGTGGCCGGGCATTAATAACTAATGGCTACCAGAGAGTTATAGGCTGCTGCCGTTGTAATGAAAGTGTCATTGCAAATCAGCAGTTGTCCGTGGTTATTATTATTTATGCATAATTGATGCCACAACCACAAGGAACGTGTCTCAGCCAGCAAATCCCAACACCTTGGGAACAAAGACGACGGAGTCAACAGAAGAAAAGGTCACAGAGGAGAAGATGCCCCTGAGCTCAGATTTACGTTGTGAAGGGAGGGCAGGGGGGGCTTACACTGTATAACGCAAATCTGTACACAGAAGGTTTCCACTAACCAGTTACACATGAGAACAGCCCTATAGTTTTTCAACAGTAAAGTTGATGTTGTTGTATTACAAATATCTTAAAGTATCATAATCTATTAAGATCTCTTTAATAAACAAACAACTCTTAAATCACGTGGTAATTGTCATTCGTTTGATGGAAACCTAATTTGTGCTCACTACGGGATATAACAGCGTTACAACAATTTTAAGAAGTTAAAACATTTGTAATCTAGTAAATCTTCTTAAATCCTAGTAATTTTGTGTTAAGTACTTTTATTTAAATCGTCAACCTTTGTATTTCAAAAGTATCTCATATGTACATCCATATTAAATAGTTAAAAATACTTGGTTGTGCCTCTTTTATTGTGCTTTAGACTAGTTAACCTCATCACTGACAACAATAAATTGGTAGACTTATGACTAGTGATTCTGAAAACTGAAAGTCTGACTTGTAGAGTTTACACTGGATAAAAAATATGTGGTTAACTGGTAATTTTCCACCATTTGTGTTATTTTCTTGCTTTTCTTTCTAGTTATTTCATCAGAAATCTTTATCTGATGCACGAAAAAGATCCTTCTTTATGAACTGACCACTGAATTTCACACCAGTGACAAATAACTGAGATATTAGTGGACAAACAGTCCCTTATAATGTTCAGTGGCTTACTATTAGTCATATATCTTGTTTGAGCTGATGTTGCATTCAATAACATGGGTATTTTAGTACTTGATACAGATCCTTCAACCATTAACAGAAACTAATTATTTGATACAATATTTTGTAACTGCACCCTTAAGCTTTAGAGATGAATGTATATTTGAATCTATTTTAAAAAATATATTAACCGAAAATAGGTTACAATCGTAGAGTTAAATAGAAATTGTCTATTTTCTGATGTTCTTGAACGCATCATGCCTCTCTGCGCTGCGTCTGCGTCCGTTGGCCAATAAGAACCAGGAGAATACGCGACGCAGTCCTTTAGGCTGACGTATACAGGAAACACGAACAGCCTTCAAAAAGTGTCTGAATGAAGCAGATTTCTGCGTTTATTTTCCTCATGAGTTAATTTTTATCGCCGAAAACATGCAAACGTGGAGTCTTGTGGCGCTATGTGTGTTACTCGGCGTTGTAGCGAGATGGGGCGTCTCGTTGAATTCATACTCAGGTAGGAAGTGTGTGTGTGTTTACATGTGGCATCATTCAGAGACTATGAAACTCACTTTAAAACGTGTTTACTGTGTCTGTGCCGCGTGTTTTATCTCCTTTAGGCTATAAGCAGAAAGATGGTCTTCTAATAACAGTGTAGGGTTGTTCATGGCTGGATCAATTCTCCTCTGTTGTGTTGTTTACATTCATTCATCCATTCTGTCATTCATTCATGCAGCTTCCTCTTCACAAGACTAACAGCTGAGGTATTTTTTTCCCTCCAGGGGCGGGGAAACCTCCCATGTTTGGAGACTATGAAGCTCAAAGGCACTGGCAAGAAGTGACCTACAACCTCCCTGTGCAGGAATGGTCAGTGTGAAGCTTCATGTGTTTACTCAGAGGAGCAGGTGTGAGGGAACAAAGAGGAAACACTAAAACCATCAGACCCCCAGAGGCAGGGCGTTTAGAGGAGTCAGGGGAACGAATATCCACAACACTACAAGTACTGTAGGGCTAAGGTCATCTGTTGTATTCTTAAAGGGGTATTACGGCGTAAAATTAATTTAGGGTCAAACACACCATAACACCGAGTTAGACACCCCGTTGAGAGATGAACGTTGCCAACCGCTTACTTCTCTAGTTATACCAACTTTAGCAATACACAGCGGTCTGAGGAGCCATCAACACACCTCAACCAAAACACCACTCTATAGCCACAAATAATGCTCAGAACAGCACCTAACTTTCCAAATATAAGATTTGAACTGAAGTGTAAACATACTGTATAATCTTCCAGTTTTCTTCTCTAAAGGCCTATTGTATAATTTTAAGAAACAGCATAGTTCATATAAATAGTCTTGATGTATAAGTAGGGTTTATCTACCTTATACTAGTACTTGGATCTGTTCAGACAACACTAATCAAGTTGTTTAGTTTATAAAAATGGCTGCACCTTAAATTAATCTTAACATTTGTGCTCACCCAGGTACTTCAACACCACTAACAATGATCTGTACTACTGGGGTCTGGACTATCCTCCTCTAACTGCCTATCACAGCCTAATCTGCGCCTATATGTAAGTATATCATCCAAGTAGCTTCCATAGCTATTCAGATGAGCTACCATACTTTCCATTTGAAGAGATTTTGTGTATATAAAAAGGAAAAAAAAACTCACTCTCTTTTTTTCCGTAGAGCCAAGATAATAAACCCTGAATGGGTGGAGCTGCACAAATCAAGAGGCTATGAAAGTCCAGCACACAAGTTATTCATGAGAGCAACAGGTACAGTAATACACAAAGGAGCGTGAAGTGAAGTCCCCATGATCATCCATGTTTATTTACTTTTGCAGTTGCTAAGATGATGATTTTTGACTCCTTTGTCTTTCATTTCAGTTCTGGTGGCAGATTTGTTGATTTACATCCCTGCTGTGGTTTTATACTGCTTATACCTTACTGATGGATCACCTAAGAAAAAGGTAACACTCTTGCTCTGAAATGTAGCAGTTTCTTTTTTTTTCAGCAGAAGACCTAAATGAGCCACATTGTCCTGTAAATACAATAAGTACTGTCAATCCAGAAGGATAAGTTGGGACATCTGCTGTGCCTGAAAACAGTTGTAGCAAGCAGACATTGAATTTGGTCGAGTTAGTGTCAACAAAGAGGTTACTTAGGAGGTATTTCAAATGTCTGCAAAAACTTTTTTGGATTTTTTATTGTCTCAGAATCTTCTGGTTTGATTTGTTTATTTATTTTTTAGATATTTACTGTCTTAAAACTTACAAAAACTGTTTTCCTTCAGGTTTCTACACTGCTCGCCTTTCTCCTTTACCCGGGACTAATCCTCATTGACTACGGGCATTTTCAGTATCCTTCCTCTACATGTGCTTTTCGATTTATTCACTGTGAAATTACTATCGCCCCAATTTTTGTTTTCCACTGAGTGCCTTGCAGCTACAAGGGAAACAAAGCAAGCTGATAGTTCAATAAATAAGCCTGTGTTGAAATGTAAGATTTACTTATCTGTTAGATCCATCATCCACCACTTATTGAAACACCTTGAGACTTTGTTCTTTTTTTGCACCATTATTAGACATTAACAAGGAAACTGAAATCTGTTTGGGGGTTTAAAATACAATAGCTTAGCTGTTGTCTTTATAGGTACATGTCACAGGCAAGAACATTCAGTTCTTTGGCCAAACAAAAAAAAAGGAGCATAAAATCTGACTTAACTCTATCAGGTACAATGCAGTGAGTCTTGGCTTTGCCCTGTGGGGTGTTCTGGCCCTGGGTCTGGGCTGGGATGCGTTTGGCTCCATGGCCTTTTGCCTGGCTCTGAGCTACAAACAGATGGAGCTGTACCATGCCTTGCCCTTCTTCTGCTACCTGCTGGGGAAGTGTGTGAAACTGGGCCTGACAGGGAAAGGGTGAGTCTGTGTGTGTTTGTGTTGTTTTCTTTCTTATTCGCTCAACAGTTATTCCTCTACAGTTTCAGGCAGACCTCATGAAGACACGAGAATTGGGAAACTCGAGTTAGATACGATACAATACAATGCATGAGGGGTAATGTATAGTGAATGGGTGGTTGTGCAAAATGGATCATATTGTGCATAACCACCCATTAAGTTTAATCAATATTGCTTTTTATCTTTGATTTTATTGATTTACAAAGTATAAATTCTGCTAACAGCCCCTCAGTTTCGACGACAGGTAGTTCTCTTATGATAATGGTTTTCATATCAGCCTGGTTTAGGGTTGAACTAACATCGATTGAACTGATTTGTTTCATTGTTATCCTATTTTACTAATACAAAGTCAAATTCAACATTTTCATGCATAATAAAGTCAAAAATATTAGTGTTTTTCTGTTTTGTTTCCATTAGATGAAGAAAATAACAGTAACACTTGTGTTAAGTTCTCTACCGTATCCTATTCTATATCCTGGAATAGTATATAGTACAGTATGGTACAATTTGGTGCAGTAAATTGGGTCACAATTTGATACAGTAGATACAACAGTTTGCCCAATAAGAGCATTGTTACGAGACGATCATGTAACATGTGACACACCTGATTTCTGATTACATTAAATCAAAATATTCCTCTAAGATTAAGTGCAAAAAGACTGTTGTTAGTGCCACCGTGTTGCGCCATGAAATCGTAACATTTTCATTGAAATTGGATGGGAAATCTCAAAGTGCTTCTAACTCAAAATGTTGATGTATGGCATCATCAATACAATAATTGTATGTACATTGCCTCATCAATACCATTGGTATAAACAAGTATAAGCATTGGAAAGAGCAGCAACAAGACGTTTCAACCATTCATCAAGGTCCTCTCTTAATTTCTTGTCATCCATTCGTACTGTGTTTACCTCTTTTCCTTTCAGTTGTGCAGAAAATGTGACTTGAAATGAGGGGGAATAAACAAGTTAATATTCAGTTTTACAGATATGCTTTGGTGAGATTAGAAAAAAGCCTAGAGGGCTTTTTTAAAAAAGCAGACTCACAGTCTTGCCAAAAATTTATGAGCGCTACTTTGCTGAGGCTCCTAAAACTCCTAGATTGTAAGAAACCAGTTGCTGACGGTTATAGACATCGCGTGCTAACAGTCACTAATGGATTAACCGTGTGAAAGATGCCTTGAAAGAAATGGGGCAGTTAAAAATAAAACTTTGTGATTTTTTGAAAGAGAAAAAAACAAGGAAACCTCAGAGTGTACTATCCAGAAATTATATGAGCGCTCAATAAATTATCTGCAGGCGAAACAGACGATTTATTTTTGTGCCTGTAAAGTCATAATTATTGGACCCTGTGTTGTTTTGTCTCTGCTTTGAAATGTCAACTGTGTGCTCAGAGTAGATGGGTAACGTCAGTGTATAAGCGAGCCGTGTCCTCAGGAGAGCCGCAGAATGACTGAGGTAATCAGATTGGATGCTGTTACTGGTGTGTCCAGTGTCTGTTTATCTAGTAACAATGTACCAAGGGCATTTAGTAGCAAATGGAGAGCTGGATTAGAAGAGGCAGGGGGGGATGGCGGAGGGGGGAAGATATGTCCAGATGACACTCTCGCCATGCCCAAACTCCTCAGCTATGCTGTGTGTGCAACTTAACCAGCAGCTTCACAGTTACAGCTGACAAGATAGACTGACCTACACCGAAGACTTTCAGCTGATGCATGGCTTTCACTGCATTCCCCAGCATGAGGGTCAAAGCCCAAATTTAGGACTTGCAGACAGTATGCACTAATTGTTTGAGAAGTATCAGTAGACTGAGGGAGATTTATTTTAGTTATTTTGTCATGAAAAAAGCTGAGTGTAAAAGCAGATTTGTTAAAAACTACTTCAAATTCGATTGTACAGCTATATAAAAAACAATATAGTGTTTTTTCAATAATATTAACGACCAAAACATTAATATCAGCTACTGGAAATGGTTTAGTATTTATGTTTATGTGACTTTTATTATGTTTATTTGAAGGATATCCACAAATCTGTTTTATATATAAACATTGGAGCATTTTAAATCAGATTTAATTTATTTTATGTGTGAAAGCATCCGGCCAGTTAAGCTGATCCTGTTTTATGTTTTCCGCTAACTTGCACAGCATCAATTTTCGACTATTTTGTAACGATACGACCATTTATTCAAGCACATTTTTCTGTGTGCAATAAATGTAACCCCAAAAAAGCCCATAATTTTGAATCTGTAGGGACAGTGTTACACTAACAAAACTAATGAATGCTGAGAAGTTACTCCTCTCACTTCTCCTCTTTCTCTGTGTGTGACCCCTCTCATGTAGGTTTTTCCTGTTGGCGAGAATTGGCTTAACAGTGTTGGTGACCTTCGCCCTCTGCTGGCTGCCCTTCTTGCCTGACCCCAGTCAAGCCTTGCAGGTGGTCAGGAGGATCTTTCCCGTGGCTCGTGGTCTGTTTGAGGTACAGTGGGGTTACATTAATGAAAATTTAGCCTGAAACCCAGAACCACACTAAGGGGTTTTATGCCACCTCTGAGCTGCAGTCTTATCAAGAAAACATTTGTACTCTCTGTCATGCAGGCCTCTAAAAATAGCAGTGTCTAACTTGCAACCCCAATGTATCACAAAGAGAAACAAGAAGGAGATAATACTGTATCTCCTGACACAAAGATATAGGACTTCATAACAAATGTTAGCCCAGTATGGCCTGGAGATCTTATACATTTCTTTATTCGCTCCCACTGAAGCCTTGCTTGCCCTTGAGGTGTTGCAGATGTTTATCCTCTTCTAGAGTTGTGCATGGAGGAGCTTTATGGAAATTTCTGTATGAATGTGACTTTAATTATAATAATTAAATGTCCTGAAATTCAGAATACCATCAGAGGAATTAAACTGGAAATGTATGGCATTTTAATTCAATAAGCTTAAAGAATTTTATTCCGTGGCTTATATGACAAAACATATCTGGTGTCATCTTTTCTTATGATTCCATCCAACAGAGATACTGTTGTGTGTCTGTTTACCCTAAAGCCCCTATCGTTTAATAACTGTTCGACATAAGTTTGTGGCTCCTTTTCATGCAAAGATGACCTCGGGATGTTTGTTATATAAATATAAAGTAGAAAATCTTTATGTTAACTCATTGATCAAAGTCAGGGCCTGTAGGAAAAAGATTCAAACGGAAGAGGGGTTAGGGAAGGGTTTTGTTATTTTTCTGCTGAAGGGAGAGGCTGTGTTTTTCTGTAGTGGTGTTAATCTTTATGTGTCAGCTCTTCATTCATAAACAGCCGTAATTTCTCCATCTCCTTATGTTTGCTGTTAATATATTGTTTTGAAATATTTGGTTTTAGGATATTTACACTATTCTTACACCTGAATCCACGGGCAGTAAAGGTGAAATACACATATTCAAACTAAAATAATGACATATTAAGGATCCCTTCAAGGGCTCGTTTCCACCAAAGGCTTTTTTTTTTTGCACCTACTTTCTACATAAAACCAACGCAGTTCAGTGTTTTCAGTGCTCAGTGCACCAAGTGCCTTGAGCATCAGCTATGTTTTTACTGCTGCGCTAACAGTTGGAATAAGGAAGGCTTTTCTTTCACCGACCAATCAAAACTGAGCAGGGGCTGGACTTCCTGATTAATACTGTCAATAATAATGACAGAGGGAAACTAGCCACATGTGATGCTAACCATACTTTCATATTTCCAGGGCACAAATTTCAGGTTTGAAGCTGCTGCTAATGCTAATGCTAAGACATCATTTCTATTAACTATTTTTTTTACCATTTCTTTAAAGAATTACATTGAATAAAAAACAAATTTAAGACCTACAGAGTAATTAAAAACAGATTTAAGAAGCATGATGAGTACTGCAGCACAAAAACGCCATTAGTGGACATACTGCCAATATTGCATGTAACAGCAGGAATTAAATAAACACAAAGAGGTGTCCTCAGTTCACCTATTATAGAGGAAATTGTGTTAGAACAACACAGCAAGAGATCACTTTAAAAGTAATATGGTTACAGAGGGAGGCTGCTTGGTATAAACGATTCTAAGTGATGTCTTTATTGGACAGGATTTTTGTTTGTGTCTAAATTTATCGTCTAACTCCTCGCTCACAGCTATATAAAGTTACAACTTTCCCAGAAATTCTTTTATAGGATGTTTACAAAAAGGATTCAGAGCACGTGTCTGTGCTTTTTATAAAAGTCATACACGAGCCCTGTGGGGCTCCTGCCCTTCACGTCAGGACAAGGATCCCCTTCAGTATCAAACACAGAAATTAAAGTGGTGAAAGGTCAGGAGATCAGTTCCAGTCTGTGTCAGGAAGGAGTCGGTTTTTGGGATGTATGGCAAATCAAACTAATTTATGAGGAGGATGTTTTCAGCACTGTGTTCAGCTCTGTGAACTGATAACTCAGGCTAACCCTACACTTTAAGGAGTATCAGAGCACATACAACAACTGCTGCCTGTTGCACAAAGCATAGAGGCAATTTAGAGGAAGGTACTCTGAAAGTTAGAACTTCATAGCCAGCTTTGCTGCTGTTCAGCTTTTTCTGAGGAGGAAATCTAAGCTACGGGACAGAAAAACAGACAGGGAAAATAGAGAAAGGTGCATGTCGGAGAGAAAATGACACTAAGTAAATTAAAAGTACTCCCCTGTTTACAAAATTAAAACACGAAATACTCCACAATTTTTCGTATAAGTTGAAGACAGTCAACTCAAGACCGTCATAACAGAAGGAGGAGTTAGGTTTAGGTTTTGCAAAAAGCAGGATAACTCAGCTCCTCCGATTACATTAAAAACAGCATAAAAAAAATCATCTGACAGACTGTAACCAAACAACAACAATCTATAGTGGTCAGGATGGAAGAATTTATACACACTACATCTATGCAACTCTGAATGTAGTTTAAAAAAATCTTAAAATAATGCACATTAAACTTTGAAGCTGTGGTTTGTCAGACATTCATGTAAGAGAAAAGGAGACAGGAATATGATATTCATTTAAAAATAAAGCGATAGTTTACGGCGAGAAAAGTCTTGAGTGTGAGGTGTTGAAAGCTGTCAGAGATAATGTAACTGTGTGTGTTTCTGTGTGACTGACAGCTCGGAGGAAAAGCTTTGCAGCTCTCATGTCAGAAACCCTGTACCCCCCCAACACCCGAGGTGGCACCCTCCACAAGGTGTCACGGATGTGAGAAGTAATTGAAAATTCTACCAGGGGGAGCAGATGGCAGCGCGCGCTGCGGCAGTAGTTGTTCAAGCAAATGATGCAAACATAATACACAGGGTGTGAGAGACACTATACACCCCTGTGACGACAGCATGAGAGGCTGCCGGGGGCAACTCGTCCTGGACTAATTGTGAAATTGTGCACGTAAGCAGAAGCTTTGGACAAGGGGACAGGGGTGAAAAGGGGGTCCTGGGATAGGAGCGGAAGAGGAGGGGGCTGCTGACTGGTGGTCGTGGCAGCTTCTGAGCGGGAGCAGTTGTAAGTTTACCCACTGAGCCGCATTCTGGCGTCTCACATTGCTGCCTGCTCACAAAAATGGTACCGAATGCGTCTCCCTGTGAAATTCCTTGCTAGCTTATAGGTGAAGGTGCCGCCCCCCCCCCTCCCCTTTTATTCATGTGTTGCCTTCAGGAACGTTCCCGCAGCAGTTATTTGAAGCAGGGAGAGAGAAAGGAGCTGAGACGACACAACAGTGGCTAGTCTGGTCTGTTGCTGCTGACTTGACTGGCTTTAAGATCCACACAGCTGTGCAGAGAGCAGCTGTAGACCAGAGAGAGTGAGAGGAGGCCAGAAATAGTTTTTCTAGACAGGGCCACACACTGAATCCATTCACAGCAGAATCATAAAGCTGATCTCAGAGCGCTGTCTCTGTGTCGTGTGATATCATGGTGCACGGCGGTGGCTCGGGCCTTCGTATCATCTGATCCCTGCACAACTGCTTAAGTACTTAAATCAACTGAATCTCAGAGCAGTGCCCTCCTCAGCTCCTCTTAACCACAAATACTTTTGGACGGGTATTAGACTTCTAACATTTCTTCCACATCATTCACAAAGCTGGAAAATCAGATTGTTATGGGTTATTTGTGAGACCAATATCTCATGATAGTTTAATGCCAAAGACAAAATCAAAGGTTTGCATTTTGAGCCGCAGTTTTTGCAGTTAATAATGAAACTATTTTGATAATCGGTTCATTGTTTTGTTTTGTTTTTTAAATCAGCCAGAGTTGCCTTACAGTTTCTGTTCTGTAGTACGTGTCCTGATGGTGAAGCTCAGAGTCCAAAACAGAAGAGTAGATTAGTACACACCAATGAAGCAAAGTAAACGGCTGTAATCTTACCTCAGACTATTAAAATTGTGTCAAAAAATGTAAAGAACTTTAATAGGATGAATGTAAAACAAATCTTTTTTTAAAAGTGTGATTAAAAACTGCTGCGGTTTGTGCACAAATCTGAAAGTTGTTGCCAAGGGAGTGTGCAAAAGTTTCCTGTGGGCTACTTTCCTTTTCTTTCTTTTAATTTATGAGACCACCTGCAGATTACAGAAAACCTAGACTTTAGAAAAACATTCATTTCTCTATTTTATGATATTTTCCAAGCAAAGAAGTCAAACAGCAAATTGAGAAAAGAATAAACAGATAACTAAATAATGAGAATCACTGATTTTTGTTGAGCTACTTGAGCTAAACAGTTTGAAAGAGATAGTTGAGTGAATAGAAAATTATATAACATGTTGACGTGTGTTTCAGCAGTGCTCTGTGGTTGGTCTCTATCTGCTGGTGATGCAGAAACTACTCTGGTTTGACATTTGACCCCGTGTTCCCAAGTTTACAAATAAGTCTCATGTTTTTTCTGACAGCAAGGTGAACTTATGACGCAAGGTTAATGCACTGCAAAAACTCAAAACTTAGCAAAAGTTTTGATCTTATTTCCAGTAAAACATGTCTGTTAGACTTAATATAAGCCAGATTTAGTTTATAAGTGCAGGTTTAAGGAAAAAATAACACCCAGAATGCCTTAACCAATGGGATAAGAAACATGTATAACTATCAAGCATCTTAAAATAAGATTGAAGTTTCTTGAAATAAAAATATCTCAATTCAAGAAACTTAAATCTTCCTCCTACGAGGAGCTCAGGTGTTATTTTTGTCTTGTAAATTCTTGAGATAAGATGCTTCTTTGGGCCTGTCAGGTGAGTCCAGCTCATTTTTAATAAAAAAAAGATATCAATTAAAAACACTTTCTTGGTTTAGAGTTTCTGCAGTGACAAACAAAACCTCTGTCTGTTCTGTTGTGAGGAATTTTTATTGGATTTCCTCTGGCAAAATAGTTAGTCACTGCATCATGGTTTATTTTCATGCTTCTAAAAATTTTTTTTATTGTTCCTTTTTTAATATTTGTTGTTTATCTTTGCAGTTCCCATTTGACATCATTTCTCATTTAATCAAGGGGTCTCTTTGTGTGTGAACAGGATAAGGTGGCTAACACATGGTGCAGCTTGAACATCCTGATAAAGATCAGATCCATCCTGTCCAGTGACACTCAGATCTACCTCAGGTAATCCTCCTCTCTCTCTCTCTCTCTCTCTCTAACAAGCTCTGATTGTTTACTCCTCTTATCTTTCATCCTTTTTCTTCTTTCTCTTTTTTGTTTCAGTCTGTTCCTGTTTCTTAATTTAGACTTCTTTCCTCTTAAATTTGCAATCCTTTCATTTCCTAGAAAGAAGACATTTCTGGATCATGATCTAGTTTGTCACTGATTGGTTAAAATAAAACACTGCCTCGAAGATAAATCTTGTGAGGAGCTTTTGGACAGGGTTTTACAGCTATTTTCAGAATAATGGTGTACTGTGGTGAAATTACTCAGGACGACAAATATGTTACATACAGAGGGGCAGAGTTATTTAACATAGTTAACTTTAACATTATTAACTTAGTGCCAGTATGCTCCCATCATGCTGATCCACAGTGCTCAGATTTGTGAGTATTTCAGCTATCAGTATTTGGATTTCTCTCTGTATTTCTCTCTGATTTTTTTTTTTTTATATAATTAGTGCTATTGTAGTACTGTTTATTTTCCTTGATTGTTTACAGTTGTACAGTGTTTACTCGCTGCTTTATTTGCCTCTAATTGCCCCCCAGGGACAAATACAGTTCTTCTAATTGAATTGAATTTTACTCAAAAAGTTTTCCCCCCAAAAATGATCAAATCAGCATCAAAGAAGCTCAATACTTTCCTTTGAACCACTCTGCAGCTTAACATTGCAGTTTTTTATAATAGATTTTGATATCAAATTACTCAAAAAAAGAAGTTTCAGTAGATGAAACAAAAGCCAAAAGCCAAAACTAGAGTCAAACCGTAATACGGTAAAAACCCAGACTAACTTTCCCCTCCTGCTGCTCTTCAGAGCATCCAAGGTATAATCTGGATGAATAACTTTGACCAGAAGCTCCGAACCTATCCTGAAATCGATGCACCAGTCGTGTCATGGTGGACTCTGCTTCAGTAACGGTGCTCTCTAAATTTAGGAGTCCTGCATTCGCAGCGTGGACACGTTTCTTGCAGACTGTTAAATCCAGGGATCAACTCGGACTTCGTTGACTGTTGTGCATTGCAACAAATGAAAAATGCACTTGTGTTTTTTGGCGCTGCGGGTGGATTGCTAAATACTCTGGAGTGTTTACGCATAGAATGAACCAGCTGTGAGAAGTTATCTATGTCTTTTCCGGACCTCGAAACCCTGCCCCATACAGGACACATGCATTGCACATATGCTTTTACGAAGCTTGATACTATGCATCTATTGAGATTATCTTTCTAGTTCTACAAATATTTAGTTGCCCTCGTATATTGCCTGACCTCTCGGCGCATTCACACTGACACGTATTCACTCATATTCTCAGTGCCTCCACCCTCAGCAGGTGACAATTGAAGGGTTAAAATAATGCCTGCGAACCCTCAGAAGGGGGCCACTATTTCTCACATAGCACGGGTCTTAAGGGGTGTTTTAAACATTCACAGTTAGATCACGTTTCAACTTGTTGATTCTACGCATTTGATGTTGAAATCACAACAGCTGAATCTTGCTTTTTTGTGTTGAGTCACTCATAAGAAGCAGGCTGCTCCTCAGTTAAGTAGTTATTGTTTCCCTTAAAAAGCTGTATCAGTGCTAGTTACTCTTAAAAATATGATTATTAACATTGCCTACGAATTGATTTAGTAACTTTTGTAAAGTTTGTGAAGTTGTTTTTCTGCTCCAAGAAACTTTTTTTTTTCCCCATAATGTATCAGCTAATTTTGTTTAGTGTGTTGATGCTTTTTGAAAGTGAAGATGTGTGAAAATCTTACTTAAAGTGTTAATTTTTATCTATATTTTAGTGCTGCCTGCACTCTCTTGGCAGTCCTACCTTCCTGCCTCAGACTTCTGACAAAGCCAAACTTCTTGCAGTTTAAACTTGCCTTGGTGAGTCATGTTTACTTACAGATCCATCCAAGTATTAAATATCTGTAACTATTATGACTTTATCCCACTTTTTAAACTTTTTGTATGTCACAGTCTTGCCTAAATCAGTGTCATATTACTCCATTATCATTGCCCTTGTTTATATGTTAGTGTTTCTTAACTGAAACACGCGTTATCCAGCCAAAAACATGCTGATAACCTCCCTTTCACTTCCAGGTTAATTCATCTCTTGCATTTTTCCTCTTCTCCTACCAAGTCCATGAAAAGTCTATCCTCTTGGCTGCCTTGTAAGTACAGAGGTAATACCAGTAATGTCTCACTGGGTGATTTATCAACTTTAACAGCAGCACAACACTGTTTCTGTCCGTCTGTCAGCTCATTTATTCATGCACAAAGACTTAATTTTTCCATCTGCTCCCATGACTCAAATCACAATTTATGTCCTGCAGCTTAAAAACGAGTTTAAATCATGCACGCTATCACTCTGCCATACATTCAGAGCTGCAGAGAAACAGTCTCTTTGAGTATAAACTTGCACACAAAGCCAAAACAGGTCATATGTAATAGAGTAAGCGCAGAACTTTTACAAGTGCATGTGTGTTAGATTCATTACCATTAATCTCCATATGTATAAAACTGCAAAGGCTGTAGGTAAGAAAGTGAAGTCGGGCGTAGGTTTGACACCAGGGGATTTGGTTCCTAGATCTGGGCTCATCTATTAATCTAGATTAGGGTAGATTGTTGCTTTATTAACTATTGAGTTATATCTCCCACCTGTCCCCCTGAATCAATCAGTAATGCATGTCCAGGGATTAGGAAAGAATGGCAGGCGGCAGCTCGGGGCGTTGTTTGCGCAGGATCAATTATTGGGCTGTAACAGGATCGCCAAAGAGCACTGGTTGTAATTATGGGCTCAGAGACCGGCGGAAAGTGCCCACCTCAGAGCACAGTGTACAACAAGCACCGCCTAACAATGACGCAGGCAACCAGTTCAATTAACAGCAGGCTCTCACTGCACAGACACACGCTTACGTGCTATGAAGTCATGATTGTAACATCTGAACCTCTTGGCAACTGATCCAAGGTCTTCAGTTTTTTAAACTGAACACTGGAGTTCAAGTATAAGAAGGATTATTAATTACTGATTATGCGGGACAACAAACACTTGACTGTCTTGTGAGGGACCGTCAACAATCGATTCATGCGGCTGTCTCATCCAGACATCGGCTCAGTTATTCTACACGCATGATATCATTTCACACCCTGTTTTGACCTTACATGGCCTTATTCCCTGTTGTATTGTGAAATCACATTAAGTAGTACTATTTGTGGTTAGCAGTAACTAAAATGAACTTTGATATTTCCAGGCCTGCCTGTCTCCTGCTGAACGACCTCCCTCTAATGGTTATTTGGTTTCTGCAGGCCTCGACATTCAGGTGAGACTGTGGACCACACACTGAACAAAGACAGTACACATGGATTTGGGTTGGGTCTTTATGATGTTGGTGTTGATAATACATTTATATATTTTTCTAAATGTAATGTAGTTGGGGAAATAATTAGAAAGGATAATAACATTGAAAAATGCAAACTGGAAGGGGAACGAGCCATCTTTTTAAACCTAAAACTAATGAAAGATTAAAAAATTCCTCTTTTACAACTGTATAAAAAGCTAAAAGGTTTTGCCAAGTCACTGCCATATTGCTTTTCCTCCCTTAAAGTAGAGTTGGAAGTATGCTACTATTGTTTTTGCCCCATGGCTGGATTATTGTGTCAGTATAGGGTTGGGCGATAAAACGATAATGATATATATATCAAATATTAATTCGATATCGATATGAAACATGGTCAATATCCTTTTTGATTGCCAGTTTTCTGCCATGTTTTGGTAGACTATACAAACAGCCAGTGGAAAAGGGAATTGTTCCGGGTCTGCGCTGCACTGAACCGACCATTCAGTCCGCTTTCTCTAGCGCAATGCCTTACAACAAAACGTCAAAGAGACACAAAGACCTCACAGATGCAGTAGCTTATTGTAATGCAAAAGAGCAAAAAGCACTGTTAAATTTCATTTTTTATCTTGTGATATATATCGATATTCCCATATTTTCCCATATTGCCCAGCCCTATATCAGTACTATATTCATTCCTAAACAAATACAAATCAACCTACAGCGAGTAAGCTTAGCGTTTTAGCTGGAAAATGCCGCCCACCACTTTGAAGCACATTTACTAACACTTCATCTTATTTATTCAATCCATAGAAAGCTGGAGTGTGAAAATTGTTTGGAGGTTTAATTTTAACATATTGAGCATCCTTTGTTCCATTTTTACTTTATAAAAAGAATCAGCCGATCAGGTCAAGACTGACAAATTAGCTCTGGTTTTGGTGGCATTTCCCTTTTCAGGATTTCTTATCTTTGCCCACTTTTAAGTGGGGCAGCTGACATTAGCTCAGACTGCTGCTCGACAGAAGTAAACACTCTTATCAGGGGTTCACATCACATTGCACGGCATCTTTGTTTTTGTGTTTACAGACATTTCTATTTAAAAGAAAAAAAACAGTCACCAGTTACTAATGATGAGAACACTTGGATGAAAATTACCACAGTCGAGCCATTACTGCTGCGGTGGATTTCTTGTAATATAAATGCGTGCCTCTCGAGGAATAAGCTACACTTGTTAGCCAAACTGACACAAATACAATATAAATATCTTGAATCTGTCATTTCTTTTCCATGCCACTTCCCCTCCGTCTCCTACTCCTACCCTCATTCACTACAAATTGAAAAACGTCCTCAAAAGCTAAATGGGTATACGGCATGGGTTGAGCTGAGGACCATGAATGGAAAAGACAAGTAGTGCTGCAAATGCTCTGTCTAACTTTCACCAGCTGTTGTTAAATTCTTCCGGCAGCACTAATTGTTGTGCGTGTGGTTTAGTATAAGGATATCTGGGGATTACATGGCATAGTCTGCATGCCTGCTGTCTAAGTGTGCGTTGTGGAGGGACAGGAGGTCATTCTGTAGCTGCCTTTCAGTACAGTCTATCATGAACTCTAACATTATCTACATCCTCTGGGGACTGCCATTTAAAAAAAAATACATCTTTTGTTTGCATAATTGGCTTAATGGATACTCAACCATAGCAATTTTAAGAGAACAGAATGCAGCCAGTCTTTTCAAATTGACCAAGTATGTATTTCAAATTGTCCAACGTTCATCCGCTGAATGGCACTTTTCTGTTCAAGTAAAAATCAGAATACGACTTTTGTTGCGAGCGGATAGGTTTTTACAAGCCGGGGTGATGTGCAATTCGCTATGAGTCAACTGTTGTTCTTGTCCATGCCCCCTCTGCTAAACTAAGATAAGCTTGGCATGAATGTCAGAGCAAACTCTTCCCAGGGGACGGGCTGCGTGTGCAGGCCTGCTGCATAGAAAGCTGTGTGGTTTACTGTTGCCCTTTTCTCAACAAACATGATACTGGACTTAATGATGTAATGTTGTATGTACATACAAAAATATCATCATCATCATCATACTTTGTATATTTTCCACGGGACAAGTGTGCGTTAAAGAGTTTGCATGTTAATGGGAAAGAGAAATGGATATACTGACCAAATTAAAAAAGTGGGATGGTGTGAAAAATATTGATAAGAGCAGATTTTGATTGTTTGCAAATCGATTAGACTCTATTTGATCGATGATCATGCAAACGCAACGTAGCAAGTCTTACTAACTGAAAAATTACTGTTGATGAATACATGCTCGTTTGAGATTTGATACCGGTAACAATTTAGACAGAGTTGGGACAGAAACAACAAAATATTGAGAGAATTTGTTATAAAACACCTGAAGGAACGTCTCTTAAAATTGCAACCGGTTAGTAGCATGACTGAGTATAAAGACAGCATTTCAGAGAGGTGGAGTCTCCTAAAAGAAGAGATGGGACAATAGTTGAACAATATCAGATAATGTTGCTCAGGCGCTGCACTAAAAACAGACGTGACTCTGTCCTCAAAATCACTTCGAAAAAGCACTTTCTGTGAACACGGTTTGTCACTACATCAACAAATGCAGGTTAAAACTGTACCATGGGCATGATTCAGAAACACTGGCACCTTCTCTGTGCCCAAGCCCGTTCAAGATGAACTAAGGTGAAGTGGGAAAACTGCCTTGTGGCCGGACAATTTAAAATCGACATTCTTTATGGAAATCATGGATGCAGCATCCTTTCCTTTTCAAGATGAACAGACTTGCTCGTTATCAGACCGTACAGTACAAAAGCCAGGATCCGTGATGGTGGGGACGCACATGTGCCTGTGGCATGTGCAGCTTACTCATCTGAGAGGGCATACTACAGCAAGAAAGTGCCGAACCACTTTCTGCATGTATCACAATAGCAAGGCTGTGTAGTACAAGAGCCAGGGTGCCAAACAGGCTTCTCTGTAGCCCTCATTTGTCACCTACTTAAAATATTTTACACATTATGAAAACAAAAGACATGACAAAAGAAAAAAGAAAAAAAAGGGAACATTTCACTTTCAAAACTCAAGAAGTTGACATCTACATTCCTCTAACTTCCATACTTTTGTGAAAATAGCAGGTGGTGTATCATGATGATAAAAGCACCTCTCCCCAAACTTTTTAGAAACATGTTACTTAAATCAAATTTAAAATGAGCGTGTATTTTCATATTCTTTAATCCAATATTTATTTTAATGATGCTCAACCTATGAAAGCCTTTTTTCGCAGAAACTTTTTGGGAATTGAAGTTGTAGTTTTATCAAACTTTTTACTGTTTTTTTCCTACACATCTCACCTCCTAAAGTGAAACTGAAGCAGAAGTAGATTAGACTTGCATTTTCTCTAAAGGCCAGCAGAGGGGTGTAACGGCGGGAAGTTTAACTGGATCGACTGTAAGAAAATAGTGAAATAAGCCAACTATTTTTAGTGAATATTATTCTGATATGTTTTTGGTTTTAGTTGTAACCTTCGTGTCTTTCACAAAAAGATGTTTATTTGCTAGTTTAGAACAATATCATTACAAAGAGAGGGTTTACTTTGGGCATGGCTCCCTGTAACTAACAAGCTGTTGGCTAGCATGCTGTCAGCTACGATAGGAAAGCAACAATACATATCTGACATTTGTCTATGGTCACTTCTGCCTCCAAAAACAAAGACAGCAATGATTACAATACCGAACTCAAGCCTTCACAAACCAGTGGGTGACATTAAGGTGAGCATGCCCGCTATTTTTGTACAGTCTCATTTGTAAATGAACCCTTGTTCATTGTTTGTCCTTCTGTGCAGCATGCTACCTCTTCTTCTGAAGGACGGTCTGCTCGTGCCCTACATCGTAACATCGCTGGCCTTCCTTTTCTTGAGCATCTACCTGCTGTCTGCACTGGAGCGCTGTACAGAAGAACAGCTGAGACTCAGAGCCTATCATAAGCTGATGTTCTTCCTGCCCAAACTGGACCTGGCCTGTACTGTAAGATGGAAAGTAAGTTTAGTTTTTATTCCCTTGTAAATTTGTCTGGCCATTTGGACAGATTCAGGTCTCGCCGGTCACAAATGTTCATATAGGGATGGGTTTTATAAAACATATGCAGCTTTCTCTGTACCTTCATTTACTACTTAAGTGGCCACTGCTGATATGAGATGTCCTGAATCATATCTGCACTTTTTTGTGAACAAATTATAAGTATTGGCCATGAATCACAGACCATGAATTACACCAAACTTTAGCCATGAATTGGGTGTTTCGACCAGCTACCCAGGCTTTAGTTTTGTCATGTCTGCCGCTGCTGATTGTTTGCTCCTTGTACAATCATTTTTTTATTCTCTGCAGTCAAATATTGACTTTGCAGACTAATCTGCATGTTCAAATGGTTTGGCAATACCATGCTATATTATTATCATATTCATGCATTCAAAGATCTGCAGGTCAAGAGAAATAAATGCATCTTTGTAAAAAAAAAAAAAAAGAGAGAGAAAGAGATAATAGTTGTTCAGCAGAGGGGCAGATTTTAAAAAATGGCTGTAACCCAGACTGCCCCTGATCTGCCAGCTGATTTCACTGACGATAAAATTTTCCTTTTTGGCTCCAGACTAGGAGCCTCCAACTTTTCTGCCACCGCCAGTTTATACGACCTGTTTTAATGAGCTGAGAAAATCTGATTCATTACTACACCAATGCTAAGCACAACAACAACAGAAAGAGGTTAACTGACAAAGTAATGTTTGTTAACTTTTTACAATGTCAACTCTTTGGCAACCAGAAGTAAATTAAAATTTGTAAAATGATCAATTATAAAGGATGAAAGACTTCTGATGTGTGGTGAAGCACTGTTGTCATAATACAGGGTTGGTAGTATCGACTATGGCAAGACTTTAGTTTTTCAAATCACCCTATGAAGAGACACAAATGATTCTTGTGTCAAACTGATTGGGGAAAAAAGAGTTTCTTACTGACTCGTGTGTCTCATACCATGTTGTGTAAGCAAAGAAAGCATTGCTCCAACAGAAAACAAAGAGGACTTTAACTCACTGTAATTTTGATTAAACGGTTTCTATGTGTCACATGTTGTAAGTCAAGCTGCAGGGTTTGAGGTCTTTAGACCGCTGGCGGCTACTTCTGTCATTGCGGTTAAAGCTGTAATTTGTTGTTTATATAATAAAGGTCATGCAGATAACATAATATCTATAAACACCAGTGGGCAAGACAGTGCTGAATCTCTGCACCATACTTATGCACACCCATAAGTACTTTTAACAGCTATGTGGATGAGAATATCTGTTTGCTTCAAGTGCCTAAAAGTATTTTTACTACTCAAAAAAGCTCAAGAATCACACATTTCTGATTCTACAAATAAATTCACAAAAAGTCCTCTAAAGCCAATTTGTCCGTCATTATTTTTTAAGTTTGAAAACTGGTGTGAGGGGGTAGTTGTCAGTCCAGAAGCTGGAGATGTGGTGCTGTTTTACAGTTTTCAAACAAGATATTAAAAATAAGATGATATATTTGACTGTCAAAAGTTAGCAGGGTGAGATTGTTTGCCAGAAGTCACTACTCAAGGACTTGCTTTGTCAAAAATCACACAAACTAAAAGTTTCTCACTGGAGTTTTGATGATATGCTTAACCTCATGGTAACTGGTGATGTCTTGCAAAGATGATGTTGTTTAATAGTCGAATGAAGTTGCGCATCCCAAGTCACCAAGATGAGTTTATGTTTTTCAGGGCTTGACAGGTCTGAAGAATATGATTAAAAAGATACTTTTGTTCTTGCTCAGTATACATTTGCAAAAAAGAAGCATGATATTTGTGATTTAATCAATCATCCTCTCCTTTTTTCTTCTATGCGCAAAGTCGACGAAAAATAAAGTTTGAAAGAGAAATCGGGGAAGTGCAGCTGATGTTAATATAAGAAGAAGGGTACAGATTTCAGGACCTCAGGGTGGCCTGGACTTAGAAAATGGCACTAGACCTAAATTGCAGCCATGTGAGAAGATATACCCAACTGTATAAATAAAGATCATGTGCCACTGTAAGCTGTGTAAGCTGTCCAGGGATGAAAGCCGCTGCCAGGCAAAGAATTATTTATCACTTATTTAAGTTTCCACAGCGTCTGAAGTAGCTGCACCGTCGGCCCCTTAGCGACAGGGGCACTGCTAGGGTGTCAGAGATTAAGAGAAGGTGTCTTTTTATAGCATGTGTCATTAACACAGGTTTGCCTACATATATTTATTTACACAAGCAGCATAAATAGCAAGCCCCGATGATGACGATAAGGTTTCATGGGTTTGGGGTGGCGAGGTGTGTATGAGTACGAGGTGTTTCCTCCCTCTCACTCACGGACTAACTCTGGGTCACAAAGCCCAAATAGACACATAAACAGTCACAGTCTCTGTAACACAGAATAGTAATGAAGCCATTCTAACGCGCACTTTGGTGAGCCTTTTTTATCATCTTTAAAACATATGGTGTAAGTCATCCAGTGACAAATATGTGAGCTTTGAGTTCTGCTTCAAATTGAATCATTCACTGGTTTGATCACATAGTTACACTTCCAATTAAGGGAAAAGATAACCGCTTGTACTTAGCCCAAAGCCTTACTGTCCTTTTACAAAGAGGACTTTCATCGCTGAATTATCAATTCTGTCATCATCAGTAAGATCTGCGTATGTAAAACGAGTATTCCCACAGTTTGCAAACAACAGATATCCTCAATGCCATGTAATAAGCAAACCTTTAAAAATTTGGGGGCCTGCACCTTTGATACTTTGTCATATTTATTCGCTCCATGGTTGACTACTGTGCTGCAGGGCTTTTTCTTTCAATGATAATCTGCCTCCAAACCAGGGCTGCACATTTGAGAGCAAATTCATTACTGCAACATGAGCTATGGCAATAAACTGCTTCTGATTTAATCACGTTCAATTTAATGTTATTTTGTGTGAGAAGGCAATGCTTCCTCACTGAGTGTGTGTACATTTGACCTGCTGGATCGCTGCCTTAGTATGACGGCTGTACTTTTACACCATTTTTGTTAATTCTAGTTAGATCTCAAATTTCCAGAATATTAAACACCCCTACTGTTATCCCACATTACATAGTTTTCCAATATTATATAGGCCTACTCTGAATCTAACTGAGAAAAACAAAATGATACCATCAGGCTGTCTTTTTCAAGCTAAAGCAAATTTCTTGTTTGTCTTTATTTCAGTTCTACATCAGCATGGCGGTCTTGGCCACTCTGAGCGTTGTGAGTGTAGCGATGGTTCCTCCGCCACATCTACCTGACTTGTTTCCTGTGCTGGTCTCTACTGTATCTTTTTGCCACTTCCTGGGGACATTCGTATATTTCAATGTTGTCCAGTTCAGCGAGCCAACCAGTAAAAAGAGCCAGAAGAAGACCAACTGAATGGAGCCAAAAGTTCTGATAGAGTGAACACGGCAGGAAAGTTTTGGTTATTTCTGCTACTCTGTTGGGAAAGTTTGAGGGTTTTCATGTGTGCCAACATGAACCCAGAGCAAAAACCAAAATATGTTTGCTGGAATGGTTGGTGGAACGGTTGATGAGACAGTTAAATTGCAACAATAAAAAAAAGAACAAATTTTTGGCAGAAACACATGATGGTTCCATCTTGTCAAATATTGCAATGTTCTCTGTGTCCTCTTCTTGAATTATACAATTTTTCTTGTTTCTGACCCATTATTAGATTATCATTATTTCGTACTGTGATCATTAGTAATAAGCGCTGCACAAATACCAAATGTGGCATATTAGGCTGAAAACTTGTAAAACGCAACAAAAATGTGAACTCAGAGCAGCAGTGAGACCAATTTAGAGTAATCAGTGGTACTAATTCTTTAACTTGGACCAATTAAATCAGTTTTCTTGTCTATCCAGTCTATCTTGGCTCTTTTTGATAAACAACATGTGTTACTCTGCATGAACTGTAAGGTTTTTTATTAAAACTGTTTTGCCTGGACCAATGATTTTTGACTCTGTTTTGAAACTATAGCAGGCCAATCTCTCGGATACAAATAAGCAGCCTGAAGCCAGCGCTCACATTTGGGCTTTGATAGCTCTGTGCCTGTATGATCGAGCTAGGAGGTGGCCACAATAATAGGAACACCTTAATGTTGAGTTGGTGTCTCGTGCACTGGGACAAGTATTGATTGGATCTTTTGCTAATTCAAAGCTATACTTGAAGATGGTGCTATACATAGTAGTATTAGTTGTCCTGTTATTGTGTCCACTCTTAGTACCTTTTTCGGGGTTTACAATTTGATGCCTACTTTATGGGACCGGACTCGGGTTTATCATCATCTATTCATGTGAACTTTTTAAAAGGTTTTCTACTGTATATTTTTATCCATCGTTGAAGTAATTTTGTACAAACTTGTGAAAATAAATAAAAAATCTCAATGACCTGAAGTGAACATGGATTTTATTGCCAGGTTGTAAAATGATTAGATTTTGAGCAGCTTCATATAAACTGTCTACATTTACCAAGTAGCCTCGCTAAATCACCCCTAACAGTCTGGCGGAGACAGAGCCAATAATTGGACAGAAATTATATCTTTCAAAGCTTTTACTCAACATCATTAAATATTCATTACCAGTCCTGGATACTACAAGGGTCCTGCACAAAAGACCTGTTCATTTAAAACAAAACCAGCGACAGGACAGGCCTTAAAAAGAGATGATGGAAGGTGACATATCTGAACATAATGCCATAAAAGTTGAAATACCACAGAAAAAGGTACAAGCAATTTCTTTCTCCAATCTCTGAGCCAGTTAATGACAGGCATAAAAAAATCCATTACAACTATAAATGTTATCAGGTCAGTGAGGGTTGCCTGTGCATCTGAGGCTCCAGGCTGGCAGCCAATAAAGGGCCACAGGGACAAATAGGAGCCCGAGATCTGAGTTAACTGTTACTAGAGGGCCGCATGGACACAAGAGGGCAATAAGAGGTGGCGTGAAAGGCGCTGGTTTGCCCTTCTGCTGCACATGTTTGTACAAAGTCATGTCAGTTCATTCAGTAAGATGTTAGACGGGTATATTCATACTGTAAGTTTTAGTAAAGCTGTGGTACAACATGCCTGATTTAAACAATAGAAGAAAAGAACTTGAACTCAACACACCTTAAATACTAATGGTGCAAAAAATAAGTATCAATGACATATAGGTTCCCATATCAAATGAGGAACTTCAGTTTTCAAGAGGGATCTTGCTATACCCTTTAAAATGTATCTTTTTTTTTTAGTCTTGATTGGTTGAATCATTAATTAATCAAGCAAAACAAATTGTTTATGTTGATTAGGCAAAAATCAGTTGTCAACCATAAATCTGTTTTTTGGAATTTGAAAGAAATTTCATAAACTTGGTTATTCATTGATTTAAGATACATAATTATTGCCAGTGGGGAACATACTTGCAGTGTAACAATACAATCTACAGTTTGCATGAACCTATGCACTGCATGTTGTCAGGCCAGTGATGATAAAGCTGAACAAAAACAGTATTCAATGAATCAAAGTGGCTTTTCTGGCTGTGTTTACACATCTTTATGACTGCTGTTTAAGCACAGAACAGGCCTGCAGTTCAAAACTTACTGACAGTGTTTTTCATTCAACATTTTAAGTCAAGTATTAACAAGGAAACCACTGGTGAAACTAAGTGTTATTGTGTTTGAGGCATGGACTATAAAAAACATGGACATGATGGTAGTCTTTATGATGCAACCTACTAATTTCCAGCTTCTTTTAATCTTTTTATTTGGGCTTCTAAAAGGTTATTTTAACATGGGGTTTAATGGAAAGGGGTTGACAAGTTTGTATAACAAAACCAGCACACTGGCCAATCAAAGCCAGCTCACCTCTGCAGCACTATGAACAACTATTGCCTTCTACAGTACAATAGTATCACACCTGTTTATGGAAACAGTTGAGATTGTGTGACTACAAAGTTGTTTATTAATAGCACTGATATTCATTACTCATTTATTCAATATAAAAAGATAAGCCAACTCAACCTACTGACAAAAATCTACCTGCAGCATCACCTAAAACCACTAACTTGGCAACCCTGCTAATGAGGATTCTTTGACTTTTGCAACCAGTCCCAAATGGACAGTCGAGCTTCTGCTTTAGTGCTTAATTTTTCAACATTACAGCTTAGTTTAAAGCCACAGTGAAGGTACTAACCCTGTCAGCATCTCCACTTTGATTTGTTATTCTGAGTAACTGTCTCCAGTTTTGGGGGATGTTAAACCTTGGACTTGGGCAAGTAATAATTTTACTCTGTTTATAAGTTAAAGAGAAAACATCCCTGTGAAACCCCAAGATAAATATTAAAGATTATTATCACAAGTAAAAGAAGAACTAACTTATCTTACAGCTTGTCTTGAAAAGCATTTGCAAAGGTAAGAGATTATTTGACGCTTCAGGGTTAGTGAGGGGGCTTTGAATTCACCTCAGATCCTTCTCTCAACCTCCAAGGGGGGCTTGTATCAAAACATTAGTTTTGTTTATGAGCATGCTGGCTTTGTCCTTCACGTGGCCTCTAAGGGTGATAAAGTGAGAGTTACACGATCCACCTTCGGCAGAAATAGGAAATGTTGCTGTGAACACCAGCTGTTGCGTAGGTCGACTCGGGCAGCGAGAGGCCTCGGCCTTCCCAGGCGCTGCCAAATAAAGAGACTACTGTGTTGTGTGAGACAGTCCTCCCCCACCTTTACTTTTCATAAGGTGTTAAACTGCGCAGGTGGGGAGGGGATTGCATAGTTTTAGCCATAAAGGCGATGAGGGTTGCCATCTGAAAGAACATTATTTGCACAGCGTTGCAGCATTGTGGTTAATGTAGAATCAACATTTGTCAGCTGCCAGGCACAGACTCAGGCTGCTAGACGGGGTTCTAACATGTCAGAGGATTCGCTCCCGCAGTTTTTAGACACTTCTCCTGCAAATGAATGACGGCTTCCCAGACATCTCAGCCTCACAGCTGACAGCACGGTTTCCACATTCATCTCCTGCCTGATCTCCGCGGGATCATACGCACAAAAGGTGAAGAGCAATTCCATTAGCTGTCAACAGCAGAGATGCCTCGCTAACAAAAACCAGGGGAATATAGGAGAGGAAAACATGATTGTAACCCCACTGGCACCTGGTGATATTATACACACCACAGTCACTGTCAAGTTTTATGCGCACAAAAAAGATACTAGGAGGTATTTTTTCATAAACAAATGTTAAGAAACCAATGAATGTCATTTGAAAAAATTAGAAAAACTCAAGTGGACTCGTGTATTCTCAGCTCACAGTGCACTAAGTGGCCACTCAACTTACAAATCCTAAGAGAGAAATTATAAACTCTGGAGTGAATTAGCAATAGAAAGTGGAAGTCTGTATTTAGCAATAGAGAAAAACCTACAATTCGGTCTAAGAGCTACAGGAGCGACAGCAATATAATAGGAAGAGAGCTGCTAAATGTAAAGTCAAGTACAACCCTAAAACCGTATCGTCAAATGGGGCTACTTTAACAGTAATGTGTATTTGCAGAGGGCAAAACTAAGCAAAACTGGAGGGAAATACACATGGTGATAGGTGTCATGGGAGTCTCAACATGTTGTTTTTCTGTGTTATTGGGATCAGACTACAGGTAAGTTTAAAAACTGCAATTTTACTATGTATCAGTATCCACTGTCCATCAACAAAATGAAGAAAATGGAAATTTACATCATGCGCAGAGCAAATTTCATGTAGCATATCACTACTGATGTACAAATAGATGATGTTAAATTTCTAAATTATTATTGTAACCCTCCAATCAGAAATTATGGTGGCATTCAGAGGAATATTGGATTTCTCTGTAACTGTAACTTAAGCATATGGGTTGAAGTAAGCTTTGTGAACAGAACAAAACACACAAAGCCTTTGCTATGTCATCCCGCTGTAGTAATCAACTACAACTATACACGCATCTAATGGCTTGTACCACCTCAGTTTGTCCATACTGTTCATTTCTAATTTTATTTAATCAAATGAACTCAAATGTCCAACCATCGCACCTTTAATTATAAAAAAGAAAGTACAAATATTCAGTCAATTAGTAACCAAAAGAGGGACAAGCACTGACATTGTTTGGATTAGCAATAAACCTTAAACCAGTGCCAACTCATTTCTAAGAGGGCTGCTACAGCTAGCCTAGTAGCAGCTGCGGCTTCTTCTTCATCCCACCTCAATTTTTTGATATGTGGCAACCAGCGCCAAGAACCACTGCCATGAATTACCATATGCTTATTTCTAGCACTTCATTAATATTCCTTTTTATTTAAAGACAGTTATTGTCAATACCAGTTAATTGCAACAGCCTTTAAAGCTTCAAAGAAACTTTAAGTTCATTTTCTACGACCTAAGACAGACTTCAAAAACTGTGATAATGCTAGTTAGTTTTGGCCCTCAGCCGCATTTCGCCTACTTTTTTTCTTCCTTTTTTAATAAAAGAAAAAAACATGGAAGTGTATTTTTGCTGAGATGAAACACAGTGCCACTCACTACATCACTACATCAGAAATCACATCTTAAAAGATTGCATACTCTGCAAACCACATTGTCGATCGAAAGCCACCGTCTTCACTTGGACCAAAACAGCCTATATACAACTCCCCCCTTTAATTACAACCCTGTGTTCAATCAGAAAGCATAAAACTCCCGCTGGGTAGGTGGCATCTGTCTGTGAGGCCTGCTAGGATTGATGTGGCAGAGTGTGAGAGCTGCCTGGGCCGGCAGCCCGCGACCTGCGACACAGCCCCATCACTTTTATGACATCTTAAGGAATCTTCTTTTTAATACAGCCCATTACTGCTGACATACAAATCTTCCCCAACGTGGCCCCGGCTATGGCCTGATCAATTTTTACTCTGCTGAGCCGTCCCCTTTCCCCTCATTTTGTCATCTCAAAATTCATATTATATAGGATTTTCTTATGGGAAAAACTGCAATAAAAATATGTTACCAGCTCAAAGATGTGCACAAGTCAGTAAATGGCTGATACAAAAAAGCTTTGAGGAGAATAAAATTTGTTTCTGCAGTAAGCAGAACTGTTTAAATGTTATTTATTTTTATGTTCCTAAGAAAATATATTGTGAGGTGCAGCATTGATTTAGAACATAACCACGTCTGGATACGGGTTGGAGCGGCTGAATTTATGAATCCTTTGCACAACTCCTTTAATTGAATTTTCCAAATCTCTCACCACACACAAATAATCAATACCTACTGCTGAGGGAAACTTGCCTCAGAATTATTAGAGCCTTTCTTTTTCAATTTTGTAGTCATCAGCACATACAGACGCTGCGGGTAATGCTGTGACTATACCTCGAGGATTTATGCTCGCCCCAAGCCTGATTGCTCAACAAGAGTGACTTCTTTAGAATGCTTACTGAAACTTTTCTTAACCTTAAAGGGCGGTCGTAAGCGCTTCTGAACGCTGCACTCTCACATTCAGGAAAGTAGTTATAACCATCACAGCGTAAGGCAGAAGATGGCAGGGCAGGGCAAAGATGAAAAAGAGATGAGGAGAAGTGGAAATCAGGATTGGCCTTAAAGTTTTTAATGTCTTTGTGGATTTACTCGACTGCCTGGTCAGGGTGAGGTCTGGACGACAGGTTTTGTTTTACTGAAGAGAAAGAGGAGTCATTGTAAGAGGTTATAAGTTGAGTTTCAAAGAACAAACACTATAGTTGAAACAAAACCTGCTGCTTATGCTGAAAACATGTACTAAAAGTATCAAGAAAAGAATACCCGAGATTTTGTTACAGCAGCCGCTTCTTGGTGTGATGTGACCAACAGCAAATTTTAGCAAACGTTAGCTAATGTTACGAAACCCTGACAAGATTGAGTCAGCTGCTAAAATGATGACTGTTTTCTGCTCACTGTTACGTAACATGTCCACACTTCTTTTATCCATTGTACTATCATAAATACGCATTGTGCTTTTGCTACAGGGATGGCGTGGTAAGACATCTTCATAGTACAAGAAACAGATTCAGAAGATATTTCCACATTTTCACAGTATCACACGGCTGCCACTCGTCATTGCTAAAGACTTATTGTATTGAATAGTTGTCCCATTCATTTCAAAATGACCGCTAAATTCTGTTAGATCTCCATATTTAACTGCAGATCCAATATAACACAGAGGGTCTCTACTGCTGCTATGGTCGTAAGGTCACCTTAGGGGAGCAGAAACTACCGTAGCAGCCAACAGACTGAGGGCTCAGTCTGTTGGCTTTCTTTGCTGTGAGGAGTTTCAACTGGTTGGGAAATAGACTGAAACTAACACTTATGCTTTATGATCTTTAGAAGCAAAAAAGACCATCAGCAACATGGCTGAAAATGTCTCTGCTGCAATTTTGGATGCTTGAAACAGCAGTGAGAGGGGGTAGGTGTCAGAGCAGATGATTGACAGCAAGCTGAAGAGACAGCTTTTTTAGACTGAACTCATTTCAAAGTTGTAGTTTTTATGAAGAGCTTAATATCTTCAGTAAAAATAAGATAGAACATAATAATAAAGAGGAGCAAATGTGCATGGTTTGATGATTAGCACTTTTTAAAAAATGGTATACTGTAAAAAAGGCAAAATCGCTTTAATCCTGCAATCCTGTTAGTGTCCACATGTTTGCCTCTCAAAGCAAAGGTCCCAAAAGGACGAGAAATAATTCCATAACAGACAGTATATCATTAAGTAGCAGTCCTAATTTAAAAGGAGTTAAGCAAGTGCAACAAGGGAGCTAATTTTCCTAAAATTTAGAGGTAGCAGTATGTAGCTGTTTTTAGCAGAGCACAATCGGCAGGATGGATTATGATATATAGAAGCCTGTTTTGATTAGTGTTTAATCAACTGAAGAGTAAAATTGTTTTGCTTTAGGAAACTTTTACACCTAAAGAGGAGCGGTTGAAATCTCATTGCCAGGTTTCTACTGTAGCACAAAATGGACAAACTACATCGTAAGTTAGTAAAATAAAGAAAAAGAAGACTGGTTGTTGTGTGCATTTGTTCTGATAGACATTTTTACAGTAAAAACTTGACGAATAGAGGATCACACTCATGCGTCATAAGAGCTTCTTGTCCCTGAAGGCCACTATTGCTTTAGTCATGGGAGGGGTGAGCAAAGGAGTGATTCAATTTAGAATCTGACTGCCAAACATTTCCATTACTTCATGCTTTAACCTTTCAAACACCCTCACATCAGCACTTTTATTGTGTACAAATGAGGAGATACATGTAGAGAGCCTACATTTGTTTTAATACTTGGATGCAAACAATGTCACACCTGCTGCTCAGGTAATACAGGTTTATGTCGGGTCACTTGATAGCATGATATCACTATTCCTGAAGAGGACTGTGCTGTTCCTGCTCCTCCTCTCTGGTAAGTTCAGTAAATGAACTGATAAGTCACTGTGAAGTTTAATGAGGGTGAGACGACACAATTGATAATTTGACTCTGGATCTATGGAGTATTGAAACTATGAGTGGGGAGCAGTTCATTACAGTGATTAGTGAACAACTCACTACTGTGCACTTCAAGAGGTCCTCTGATGAAACAGGAGGAAAATCAAATCCATGTCCAGTTTCATAAAGCAGTACTTGTGCCTTTTTAAAAGACATAAAAAATGCACATCATCATGAGGGGCAAATGATTTTTTGGTTAACTTTCATACATCGTATTTTACACAAGTATATGATTTATAGTGACAAAATTTAGATAAGGGAAGAAGTCTGCGCTCTGTAATCCTACCCAGCCTTCTCCAAAGACTTTCTTTGACTCTCGCCCCCCTCCTATTCAGCACATGCACCAACAGCCTAAAGGGCAAGGCAGCATATCTAAACAAACATTTTACACTAGAGCAGAATCATGCTGAGAGATACCATCAAACATCATCTGTCTAGATTTCACGCTCTCAGCAGATATAGGCCAGAACTCTTCAGCGGCTTTGAATAACAGTTTGTTTACTTAAAATGTGTGTCTCAATGCACATAGAGGGCCAATTCTCTCCCACAGCTATCTGCCTTGACATTGTGATCTCTGTTGTTATAAGGAAGCTTATGCAAAACTGATAAATTTCACAGATCCACCATGTGACAAAAAATGTGACATTCCTGCTGTGTGGGTCCACAATGCATCATGTATGTTCAACTGCCTCACTGGAACTAATCAAAATAATTTCTAACAACCTTATCGGAAAACAAGCTTGCCTCCTGACAATACCCCCTGTTAACTTAAAACAAGCCACCATTGTGTGATTGGATCACAAGAATTGCTCTGCTGCAGGCGTAATATGTGCCTAAAATAATCAAATTAATTCTTTAGCCAGGAAATCTGCTCTTTGGCTTGTTTGTGTAACCATAACAAAATGTTGTTTTTCTCCAAAGGTCAGTCAGCACAAGCTGGTCAACCAAAACAAGCATGCACTGATGCTTTTAAAGTTTAATAGAAAAGAGGATGTCCTGGGGAACGAGACAGCATCGTGACTGCATTTGTTGTCCTGTTTATCATGAAATCAGTCACACAGCTGGGACAAAACATTTTCTTAGAGGCCTGTGAAGCCCTGGCGATATCTCACTTTTTGTGAAGGAGGTGTTATCCAAACAAAAGAGGTCTTACTCCAAAAAAGAGAGGATGCTCTTCTTACACAATGCAATTATTATCTTAACTTAAAGCATTGTATTTTTGTTGTTTTTATCTTGTTACTACTGTTTGTGTTTTCAATTTATCACTTGATAACCATTTTTCCCCTCGCTGACTTATGAGCTGTTACTAATAAGGGATTTTCCCCTGCTGCAGGATTAATAAATTTAGTGAACATGCACTTTGAAATCATGTATTTAATATCAGCTTACCTTTTTGTGTAAACGTGTGTTGAGTTTAAAAACTAACTATCTGACTCATGTCAGATTCACTCTGCATGTCTATAGAGACATTTCTTTTAACCCACAGCTCTGATTAGGCACACCCAATAAAACCTGTTATCAGAGCAGTAAATCCCACTAAGTTGTTGTGTTTATCTTAATTTCGTGAAAGCGTAATAGCACATGATTATTGTGCAATAAAAGCTTTTTTTCTTAGACACTTTCTGGTTTACTTGCTTGTCTGTGTCTTACCCTTATCTGTGATGCACAAGGTCTTTTTATCTTGCAGGATGGTTCCACTCTGGATACTGAAAAAAGAAGCACAGTAATTATTATCAAAGTGGAGACAAACAGATGTGCCAAAATAAAATATGTGCGCTCTGCTTGATGCCTCAAAAAAAAAAAAATCGAAGCCTTTCTTTTGGATGAATTTTCAATCCAGTTTGTCATATCTGACTGCGTCAATGAAAAATGCAAAAAGTTACTTATTCTCTGGTAAAGCTAAAATTCAACACTGGGTACTTACTTGGCTCTTCAGCTGTAGTCCTCAGGTCAAAAAAAAAAAAAAAATCCAGTAAACTGAAGTCCTTGTTCGCTGCTGCCATCTGCTGACTCATTAGAATACATGATGAAGAGGATAGAAGGAAAAACCCCAGTCATATGAGGAAAAATAGCGGAGAGGGAAGAAGTAACTTCACTGTGTTGGAAATTAATGAACAAAGTTTGAAAAGAAATTTCACAACTCTAATCTGAAGGGGAAAGCCATGTCAGAAGTGAGTATTCAGTTTGTAATAAAGCCCATCATTGCTTCATTTCAGGATTTGATAGAGATGGAGACATTTCCGCCTTCTGCAAAGATTAAGAACCAGAGAAGTCTTTCTCTCCAAGATTTCCTCCAGCTCTTTCCTGGCCCTGATGAATGCAGCCACTGATCACTCCAGTTTGGATCACAGCATCTCCAGTCTGATCAAAGAAAGACAGTCATATAAAACTGGCACAATAACATCTTCAAAAAGTCACCAAAAATTCATCATATCATCACTCTGACTGTGAACTCTATTGCATAAATGACTGATTCATGTGCTTTATACCCTTGAAGGACTAAACATATATTTACCTGTTTTACATTCAGCAGTATAACCAGTGAGTTCAAAGCTTGAGTGAGCCACATAAAGAGCTGAAAAACTACATAAAGAGGCTGAAGGAAATGATACATGTATAATTCAATACTTCAAAAATGACTTAAGCTATTACATGATATCACAAATTTAACATTTTTAAATCAAATCCCTTCTCTATGATCTGAATAACTGACAGTAACTCAAGGAATGATTGTCTAAAACTTCAAATAACACTAGTTCTTAATCGTATCTCTTATTTATTCATCACATTGTTACATCCTCTTTTTGTACTTATATGCTTTGTCTCACTGTATATTTAAACACTGCAGTGCCTCAAATGACCCCAATATGACATCCCCAAGTGAATGTTATGAATGTACTGTAAACGGAGCTCATGTAACGTATTAGTGACAGCACTATAAAATTAAAAACTAATGCTTATCTTGATGGATGGACCTGACACCAAATGTCTGCCTTGACTAAGGAAATGGTTCTTGTCTTAAGTGACTCTTATACAACTATTTTTAGTGCTATGTAAATCACTGATAATTTGGCCTGTGATGGATCTCAGTCATTCCACGTCTCCTGTCGTTAAATTCTGATATGTCATTATGACCATCAGGAAAGTGTGGCAATTGAAATATAGCAAGTCGTAAAGAGGGAGTTCTCTGTATCAGCTGAACTCTGTGCTCTACTTTGACTCTTTGTGTGTTTATGAAGAGAAATAAATTTGCAGTTTTCAGAGTGAATTGTTTGTTGAAATAGTTTTCCTGAATATGGTAAATGCAAAAGTACTTACTTTCCGACTCCATCCATGGGGCCCCTTGTTTTTGTTGTCTCCTTGGTCTTGTGCTCTTTTGAGGAACCGCATAAGGCCTTCAGCTGAAGATAATCTTCAGAATCAGTTCACCGGTAAATCTTTGGGTCTATCATGTGTCCATAAATGCATTTTAAAAAGAGCCCGAGGCAGCCCCAGAAATAAAAACAGATAGACAACTGACAAAGTTTTCACCTTGTAAAGAATCACTTCACCCACGACTTTGAGCCTCCATGGAATTACTGTTTATTTTTTAGCACAATATCAATATTTATTTCTTTAATGGTCATCATCAATACTATCACATTGCAGTTGCATTAGCCTTTAAGTTGCTTCATCAGTCACTGGTCTGAGTCATCATTCACAACCTGAATACCTTCAGGGACTTCTCATGATCGGAACGGAGAAACTACGACTAGCCTACTTACGCTGAAAACCAGGAAACCAGCAAACATTTGACATTTCGGGTTGAAAAGCAACCGAATCAGCTTTCCAACTTTCATAGCAGCTTGTGATTTATTTTCCAGAGAATATATGAACAACCATGCAGCTCTTCATAACACCTGAAGCAAAACCTACCTGGAATACCTGGATTACTGTATAGAGCACAGGCAGGGGGGAACAAAGTTTTTCATAGTACCAGTAATGGTCTCAATTGTCACAACACATGAAATTTCTGTTGCTGTTCAGAAAGTAGAGCGCTCAGATTTAGGTCATTTAATCAGCAGCTGGTTGTTGAGTTCTGCTATGATCTGAGTAATGGAAGTTCACGTAAGGACAACCACATCTCAAACATTAAATCAGTCCCTTTTTCATATTGTATTTCAAGCAGGAAAGGTCACTGTAAACAAACAAGCTTTTTAAAGAAATCTCCTGCCTCACAGTCACACGTTGTCTGTTGGGAGCAATTGGTATCAAAAGAAGTTAGTCATCATCCATCCGAATTATCTGTTTCTTTCCCAGGGAAAGTACCACCAACTTTGGAGTCAACAGCTCATTTTCTTGAGCTTTTAATGCTTGATAAGAAGAGTTGTTTGGAGGAAAGCACATTTATTTATTTATTTATTTTCAAAGTATGATGTTTCTGTTATGTTTTATTGGGGACAGAGTTTGGGTGTTGTGAGTAAGACATGCTTTTGCTGATTAGGCATAATCTTGGACAAAAACTTAAAGTTTGATAGTCAGGTTGAGTACATCTGCAACAAGGTTAGACCAAATCTTAACTGCTGTCATTTTATTAGAAGTAACCCGTCACATCAAGCTGCAAAATTGTACATACATACAATGATTTTTATTTCTCATCCGTCATATTGCATCACAAGCTTGGTCACAAGCTTCTTCAACCACATTAAAACCTATAACCTCAATATACAAGCAGGCAATGAAACTCACGGACCAGAAACCAATGAGATGGCATCACTGCCGCATTTTAAGAAAACACAACCTTTTCACCTTTGAAAATTTGATGAATTTTAGTACTCTACAATTATTTATTAAATGTCTAAATAATAATATGTCACCACTGTTCTCTGTATTGGCCACCAGGCGTCAAAGCTCTCACCGAGCGGCCACACGAGCCTCCACCAGTGGTAATTGTCTTGTCCCAAGATACAAGACTTCATTCTGTCCGTCTGCTCTTTCCGTAAAGGGAGCAAAACTTTGGAACTCTTTACCCACTACTCTGAAACTGGAGACCAGCAGTAATGCTTTTAACAAAGGACTCAAACAGTGGCTAAAATCAAAACAACGGTGCTCACACGATTTGTCTTAAACCGGTTGATTGCTTGACCATGTTGTCTTTGCTTTGTAGCTTGTGTATGTATTTAATCAGAAAAACTGTCTCTCTCTTTTACTGTTGTAATATTATTGTAAAAAAAAAAAAAAGGGTTTTGGTATCAGGGTTTATAAATTTGCAGTTATGTTAAGGAGGCAGTGAGGCTTTTTAGATGCAGTCAAATTTTATTCACCCCAGCAAATATTCCTGCATTCCTCCTCTATGGGTCAATGACGTGACGCCTAAATATTCTGTCCGACTGTATTTTTTTTTTAAGTTAAAAAAGGTTTAAATGCACAAAAATATACCTTCTATGAGTAGTATCTCTCTCATATATGTAGTCACTTCAACTTTTTAAAAATCAGGTCTTATTTGTAATTTTTCTGAACTTCAATGTGTCGAAATATCATGTGGTGTGACCAATAATGACATTAATAGTATTTATACAATATTATATGATACAATATGCTTAAGTGAAAGGTAGTTTTAAAACATTTTTATCAGTATTATGCAATTTAAAGAAAAAATTAGTTAACTACATTTAATATAGTGACTGTGACATAATAGAGCGAAAATGTGAGATCATTATTTACAAAAACTCAAATGAAATGCAAACACTTTGTTTCTATCTACTTGATATTACTGACAATTTGTAAAAAAAAAAAAAAAAAAAAAAAAAAAAAAACCTGCTAAGTATGTTGAAAAAATGTAATAATTTTGAGATAAATTATGGTCGCAACACATGACATTTTTTAAGGCCACGGGCAATTCATCTATATGAAAAAACACTAAAATTGCATAATTTAAAAATTTAACAGTAATTTTTGTTTACACAACATCCTTAGTGTTTGAACTTTTGCAAAATATGTTCTTATTTCTGCTATTTTAAAATTGTTCCATATTTCGACGATCTCATACTCATACTTATTCGAACTTCGCATACTTACACGTGGAGAGGTCTTATCCTTGTGCACATCTCGTTGTATCCTGTAATAAAACAAAGGTGTAATGTCAATATTAATGAATTCCTCCATTAAACCGAACTATTCAAGGAGAACGGATTCATTAGTCACAGGTTTGTTTGTTTGTTTGTTTGTTTGTTTATTTGTTTGTTTGTTTGTTTGTTTGTTTGTTTGTTTGTTTGTTTGTTTGTTTGTTTGTCGAACTGAGTAAACAGAGATAGTCTTTTGGTGCAACACAGGAAGGTTTCCGTAAGGCTAAAACAACTCTGAACAAATGTGAAGTCATGAAATATAAGTAAACAATCAATTAATCTCCGAAAAACTACGACTATTAATGAAATAATGGTTAAATATCGACGAAACTTACCGCATTTTGAGACGGTCACATCCAAACAAATTTAAACAACCGGCGCCTGTGTTACACTCAAACAGCTCGTGCGATATATATTCTATCCAGTATATAGTTCCGCGCACCCCGTCCGTACAAACAGACTCGAACATGGCTTTAAAATCAGTATAGATAAAATTTCACTCTTATTTATGTTTTATTAAGAATATTTTATGTATAAAAAACGATAAAATAATTTGTGGAGTTTTCACACTTTCGACGACCACAAGAAAAATCAACTCTTGTTTCTATCCGGTCATCTTAAAGTGAACACCAATCATTTTTGTTTACCTAGCAACAGATGCCAGATAGCAACGGGATGTGACTTATGTTTGCTTTTGCATCTTTCTTGGTGTACGAGGACGGTAACAAAATAAGGAAAAGGTAGAATTAGTCGATTTTAGCCGCTGTTAAAGTGCTAGCTCTCGGTAAGCTGAGTCACATCGTCTTAAGATGTCTTTTCAAGAGTTACCCCGTCCTTCTGATGAAGATGAGGCTTTCTACACACACTGCAGAGCTGCGTATTTGGCTGTGTTCAGATCTAGTTTGACAAATATAACCTCTAAACAGCAGCTATGTCGTGGTAAGCTAAATTAAAGCTCTTATTTGTTTGTAAAAAGTCTTGCACAAGCCAATATGCTGTCACCCAAGGGGGGCAGGTGGTCATAATGTTATAGCTGATCTGTTTAGATTTTACCTCTAACGTCTGTCGGTGGAAATGAAACAGAATTGGCAATAGAAGAAGCTCCCACTCTGATTTGAGGTGCATCAATCTACTGTCTGAAAAGTAGGGGAGAATGGGGTAAGTTGAGCCAAAGGGTAAGTTGAGCCACCCCTTGTTGCTTGGAAATGGTCAAAGAAATTGATCATGTGACTATTGTATCAGTTGAATGGGGTATAATAGATAAAAATACACATGAGTGTGAAGAAGTGACTGTTATTTAGGGAGAGAGAGGGTGAGTAGGGATACGGCTCAACTTACCCCGCTCCTATGGTCAACTTACCTAATACTCGGGGTAAGTTGACCATAGGAGACCACTTTTTTTGGCATGTTATAGTATCAAGACAGTTATGTTTACACTCATTCTGTTGGTTTGCAGGGATGCACAACATCTTGAAATATATGCAGATACACTAGTTAGAGACAAAACTATGATTACCTTGATGTAGTGATCCAAAATATGAAAAATGGCTCATCTTACCCCACTCTCCCCTATAGTTCAACTCCACCCATTGCAGGGGATTTTTAATATAACTGAGATTGATGGATAAGAAAGAGCTATTGGGACAAAAAAAAGCTGATCATTGAAGATTTCATTGTTTTTCCTTTTTATCCTCCTTAGCTCTTCAGCAGGCCGGCAGAAATCCATCCCATGCAACTCTTGATAAATACTGGACCCCGAGAACATCCAAACTCCACTTTGATGACTTCTGTGAAATCCTCAAGTGTGAGAGGAAAACAGAGGAGACTGAGCTGATGAGAGCCTTTAAAAAGATGGATGTGAACAGCGATGGCTTTATATCTCATAGTGAACTGGAGAGGGCCCTTACCACTGTGAGTCAGCAGCAAAAACTGTACTTGTTGATCTGGATTACATTAGTTGGGTTTTGGCCTTTATAGTACAATCAGACATCAGATTAATTACTTCAGCAACATAGGTATGAACATATGGAAATATATGTAAAATGGTTAATTTCTGCCAATATTAGCATGATGCTTAAAATATGCTCTTATAATGAGAGCTGTTAAATTCCACACGATCAGATATTGTTTTCTCAAACTAGCAATTTAAGTTTGGCGTCTACTGTCCCCATCTTGGTTTCTCTATTTAAGCAGAAGCGAAAGTACTGGAATCTTTCCTGGTTATACATCGTGTTTCTAATTGAGTCAAAACAAGCAGGTTTTTGTGTCTGGTGATTTGATGATCTATCTGTTCAATCTTTCAGAGTGGAGAGAAAATGACTGTTGAAGAGGTGAATGCTATCTTCTCATTAGCTGACATCAACAAAGATGGAAAACTGGACTATGCCGAAGTAAGTTTAGACACTCTACATGTTTAAGTTTTTTTTTCACTACAGATACTCTGAAGCTTTTGGAAAGTAATATTTTGAATCCATCATGTACCTTTACTTTTATTGATTAGCTTGAGACTAAAACAAATGCTACACTTCTAGGCCGACTAAGTTGCATCATTCAAGACTACTTTCATAAACAAACTGAGCACCCAAAACAAGGAAGAATGAAAAATATAAAGTGGCAGACAAGTATTTTTGTGTCGTCCTCATGCATCATCCTTTTACCACTGGTCTCCTGTCGACGTCAGTTCTGCAGATTGTTTATGTCTACAGTCGCGCGGTGTCAGACTGCTGCTTTGGAGAGACTTGAGACCAACACCAAGCTGAAGAGACAGAACTTTGGCAGTCAGTCATACAGCCCTCCAAAGAGCTCTGTGTCATCTGCAGCTCCATCATCAGAGACAGCGACCCTCCCTCAGCCTCCGCCGGAAACCCCACAGGCCGACTCAGACACGACACTTAAGAAAGGTATAACAAGTAATTCACTGTCACAGGACATTTACTGCATTTCCATAACAGTATTCAGACTGAACTCCGTGCCTTCTACTATCCAAACCATTTTCACTCAGAAAAAATAGTTCAAAGACAACACATGAAACGAAAGCCGAAAAATTGACACTCATTCTGAATATGATGCCAGTTTCAAAAGAGTTGGTGCAGGAGCAACATAACACTGTAAAAGTTGTGTGATGCAAACAGATATATCTTGACTAATTATGCCAGTTTTCAGCTGGTTAGTAACATGACTAGAAATTCCAAAGAGGCCCAGGGTGCTAGAAGTAAAGATGGCAAGAGGTTCACTGCTAGTGGTTGATGAAGTAATCCGGCAATCCCAGAAAAATGTTCCTGAGTGTAAATTGGAAAAGAATTGGAATATTTGATCATCTACAGAACAAAATTTTATTGAAATATCTTGAGAAACCTCTGTGCCAAGGGGCAAGGCTGAAAACCAATACTAGATGGCAGTGATCATTAAGATTTCAGACATGACTCTGTAGTGGGAATCATTAAATTACACCCAAAAACTACTGTCTTTGGGAGCAGTTCACAATTACATCTACAAATGCAGGTTAAAACTATTTCATGCAGAGAGGAAACTATGTATGAACATGATTCATAAGCACTGGTGACTTCTCTGATTCTGACCTAGACAAAGTGGAAAACTGGGTCAGGCCAAGAGAGATACATTTTGTAAGTGTAACAACAGTATGACTCTGTAGTAGAAGAGTCATGCTGCAAAACTGACCTGCATGCAGTCCTGACTTGTCACTTATTAAAAAAAGATTGACACAACATTACTCAAGAAATACGACACAGAAGACCCATAACTTTTGAGAATCTTACATTTCTATTTCGAGAAAAGTGCGGGGCAACGTTTCACTGTCAGAACCCAGAAACGGGTCTCCTCCACTTCTGAACATTTACAGACTGTTGTTGAAAGAAAAGTCAATGCTAAGCAGTTGTAAACATACTCTTGTTCCTATCGTTTTGTTGCTGACATCAAATTCAAAACCAGCATATAGAGGGTTTTTCATGAGAAAAATTGGAAATTTTAACCTGTTATCTTGTCAATTGCATATACAAGAGGGTTGAAAAGATTTGCGAATCATTAAATTCTGTTTTAATGTACATTTTATACAATGTTCCCACTCCTTGGATTCTCTCTCAATATGTTTTAAAAGCCTCTTTAATTCCTAGATGACTTGTCTAGATGCCCCAGTTCATTTCAGGGAAATGCATTGTAAGCATGCAAAATCAGTTTGAGTTAACATTTACTACTACACTCAGAGACCACATATTGTGAAACGTTATAGAGATGATGCTTTTTAGTCAATGGAAATGTCAACGCAGCATTCATGTGATGTCTGAATAACCGGAAAAATTAGTTCCCGACGAGGGTTAAACCTCAAGAAATACAACAGGGAAAGTGTGCTGCAGATGTAGGTCACAACTTTGACATCATGTTTAAATGAGAAATGGTATTGAAAGTAAATGTTGGTTGCATGGAATTTTTATTACCATCATTTCTCCTCATATTGCATATCAATTACTCACTTGAATATAATTTTCAATACAGTTCAAGCTTGTAACTGTTGCTTGCTGCCCAGGAAACCTCAACATTAACCCTGTCCTGTGCTAACCCTGACATGGATAAGTGGGAAAGCTCATTTATTAGTATTAATTTAAAAACCAACACTAGTAAAGCTGTAGTCAGTGGTTTTAGAAAATATACACTATCTATGTTTGCTTGTTGTGACTGTTGTAATCTCAACGGTATTGGAAATGAGGGAAAACCTCAATGTCCTCCGAGAATAAATCAAGGTTTGAAATGAAATGAAATACAAGTGCAGCAGCAAATGTTGGACAAAGTACACAACCCATCTTTCCTATAGCATCCATGTTTGAAACAGTACTTAGCTCAGGAACACGGAGAAGTCTGATTAAACTCTGTCCATCCTGGTAATAGCAACCACCAAACACGTTAATACCTCATCACATACTCCAGGTCCATGACTCTCAAACATAATTGTTCAATTTTTATGGCGCTCTCCACAAGTCCAAAGTAGCAGCCGGTGACTCACCTCAGACTTCAGTTTACAGTTCCACACTTGTGCACAAGTCTTGCCTAGGTACACCTCAGCAATTAGTTATGATGAATAAATAATAGCTTTGTTATTGATCGATTTTTCACCTCCCCCTGTGACAGATCGCCTCATTAAGACAGGCCATACATCATATTACCCACACAACTAGGGCAGCCTGTTTAGAAGGAGGAGACTGTAAAGCGTTGTGATTTGGCTGATCATTTCTGCTGTTAATAAATCGACAAAAAGCTCCATCAACACTGATGAAAAAGGCCTTTTTCACACTGTGGATTCGGAGTTGAAACTTATATCAAAAATATGTTGCCATAGCTTAAATTGTCCAGTCCAGCTTCACCTGTCTGCAGCAAAACATATTGAACCAAGAATGGTTCGAACTGTTAATTGTACTTTAAACCAGTTGAAGGTTCAGATTATGCGCTTTAAAGGCAGTACAGAAAAGCAGAGACACCCTGGATGAGCAAGAGGCGACTAGTTCACTGTGGGAAGACAGATGGGGTTGATTTAAGTGGTCAGTCCATGTTCATGTTATTGATTTGGAGGATTTCTCCACTTCTCACTGGGGAGATGATGAGGGATTAGACGCTGGTCGGGAGGAGGGCCCAGCCGACCGCCACTACAAAAACAAATGAGCTCCCACATAGTTGTCGGGATTATCACATTACTGTGCCTCTCCCACGTATTGATTTATAAAACCTACACTTCAGCAGGGCTACGACACGGGCTGTGGTGTGATTGCACGTGTTGAAAGGGTTATTCTTGGAGCTCAAAAACTGTTTTGACTCTTCATTTGGCTCCACATTTGTCAGTATGACCTGCTACCACTCTAAAACAAGTTACAACTGTATGAGACATGAGTAATGAAATACTGACTTGTGTTACTGCACGTGTTGCACGTCTTCCATGTTTTCCTAAACTGTTAAACAAACTTGTAAACAGTCATGGTGTTTCTCGGATAAATGATCTGTTGAGCTCAATTTGTGCATTTTCCCAGAAGCAGGAAACTATTGGTACCAAAACAACACATGCTTTAAACTCACATTGAAGCTAGTGTAGTGCCTCCTTCCCAACAACCACTCAACAAGTCAACATCTGCTGTTTGAGTAAAATGCTGACACCACTAAGCACGACATCTCTCACAAAAACACGATAGTTGCCCCATTTATCCCTCCGCTGTGGTAATTTGTCTGGAAGCCTTCAATTATTCTTCACATCTTGATTTCGTGGTCTGATCGGATCCCCTCCTTAATGAATTGATATTTTCTAGCATCATTTATCTTTCAAGGAAAAAAAAGGTTGTCCCAGATAATGAACCTGAAGGGCTCCTTTTATGTCATTTATGCTTTCAAATACATGTAATTGATATAAGGGGGTCCAATTTGAGATGGTGTCCAGAACCTAAATGCTAAGCAGTTCTGTTCACTTGAACTTTGGGATGGACTTCTTAGAAGACAGATTAGTGTGTCAGTTACGTTGTACGCCTCATCTCTCTTTTCAGTGTGTGTTTACTGTTTGGAAAGGGGAGGGCTGGACTTAATCTGTCAAAGCCTTCTGTACTGTTATAGTAATATTATGACTTGATTTATTTACGTCAGTTTTGGATGTTTTTTAGTTTGGTTTTGTTGGTCTTCATTCCTTTTGATTTTTTATTTTTGTGTCGCAGACAGCCAACCGTCATCACGTCCTTCCTCTGCTCGCAGCAGACGGTCCTCCCTGTCCAACCCAATCACCATGACAACCAGCGGTACGAAAGCTAACAAAATGCAAGAGCCCTCAGGTCTACAGGTAACCTTCTTTGCAGGGACAATAATTTTAAAGCTGAGCAGATTTAATCAGAATAAGAACCTGCTTTATTATCCAGCCGGTATGTGTGAGGTTTTTGACTTTGGTAAACTTTGTTTTCTTTGTGCAGACTCTAAAAAATGAATTTTCCTCGTATGAACAAGCCAACATAGGACTTTTAATAAAGAATATATACACGATCAAGACAATAGTGCAATGGTGAAAAGTGTCTTTGCATAGGTGGGTTAATAGACAAGTGGTAAATATATGTTTATGTATACCATATTAACATGAAATAACATGGTGCATGAACTCATGCTGGATCTGAGGATGATATATACAGAACTAGAAAATTCTCTTTGGGAAATTTTGAGAGGGCCACAGGGGGCTACTGCTGGGGTGTGTACATTATGATGGGATTCTTCAACGATATTAAATAAGTAGCATTGTGATATTATATACAAGGAGCAAACCTCCAACAGACATTCCTTTTTCAAGCTTTTATTTATACAAAAAACAACAAAAAAAAGGAGCCAGGGTAGTAGAAGTTTGAAAAACTCTAGCTATTTACCTTTTTTTTTTTTGGCTTTACCTGTTGATTTCAGTGCAAAATTTAGATCTCATAAAAATTCATATACAAAAGAGTAAAGTAATAGCACACTGATCCCATTTAAACCACACATTTTGATATATAGTTTGTCCTGCAACTCTTCAAGCTGTAGGACTAGTAGTGAATCGCAATTGCTCCACAAGAGGAATAAGAAAAAGTCCACAGTACAGCAATCGTACCTTCGGGGTACTGGCCCCTATGCTTTTGTATAGGTGGTATATAAATTTGTGTTCTAATAAATTTTAAGAATAATTCACATTTTACCCTTTCAGCTCTGGTCCCGATACCACTTATTGATTCCAGTTCTTATTGATTCAAAATTCAACTTTATATATGTTTTGTATCAGAAGTGCTGTAACGTTCGGCAGGTCCTGACAGATATGACAAACTTTACAAGGACAGCGAAGTCCTCCCTGAAGTTTCCTCTGGATAGATATCGTAATGCAAAAAAAATATACCTGTATGGGTTAAATTGTTCAGTTTTTTTTTTAAGCATGGGTGTTGGTATCAGCTGTTATCTTCTCAGTCAGTGCGTTGGTGCTCTCACAGGACAGGGAAGCAGGGGCAGGGGGCTTTATTAATCAGTTTATCAATTGGGTTATCTTCCTCTTGAACGTATTTCAAAGAATACATTAACCTTTTTCTGTTGATAATTTCTCAATTTGCCATTTGCACTACATGTGACTGAGAAATCCCTTTAATCTGCTCATGTTGCTTTTCCCATCAGCCCTGTTCCGTTTTCTGAAGAGCTTCTTAGAAAAGCCAGAGAAAATTTTCTGGCTTTAAATTTATTGCAGTCGGCCTAATTTTCTCAGACGGATGAAAAATACTATATTATGAACTGGGTTACTGAATAAACTTTGGTTGCGACATATAAATCAGCTCATTCCTGTTCTTGGGGACACAGAGTTTATCAATAAGGTCTTCTTTTAGGTTTTCAGTGAAGAAGCCAGGTGGAAAAACAAATTTTATGCTCAGTTTCACTTGTTCAGGAATTGATACTGATATAAAAGGGGTTGGGTTGGCTACCCGTCCAGTTTCCTAATTTTAGCCTGCGGAAAATTGACTTTTTCCTTTTCTCAGAAACATCAGCCCACAAGTCAGCTTCAATTTCATGGCTGCCTCTGGAAGCTCCTGTTTTTGAGTTGCAAAGAGCAGTGGTGCACCCGTGAAGAGTGAAGTGTTAGTCAAATGTCAGAAAACAGTGTCTCCTTGTTATGCATTTTCAGGCTGTTTGAAGTTTTCAAAGAATAAATTCAAATGTAAGATAATCAAAACTGGTGAACATTTAGCTGCACATGAGTGTCTGCAGCAACTGTGAGCTAAAACAGAAAATCCTGAGGGGCTGTGAGCTGAGCTGCTGTTTGGTCATTTAAGGTCATGATCCCTTTGTAGAGCCAGGTCTCCATTACTTTAGTTGAAGTTTAGATATTCCAGGTCTGATAATACACCAGTGCAAGTGACAATAAGTGACAGTTACCCAGCTAAAACTTGAGTCAACAGTACGATTTGGAAAAAAATCTTAAAACGTTGTAGTTTTACACGAGTGCCATCAAGAGCACAAGGCTTTACATGCTGCAGTGTCGTCATAGCCATCGTTACCACTACTAAATGACCAAGTATCCTGCCTGATCTGAGTGACGTTTGCTCTACATTTTCTCAACATTTGACCATGGAGACTGGTGACATATGGCAACAACACCTGGACAAACCACATGCGAATCAGAATCTAAGGAGGAGGAAAAGAAAATCGGCTAACTTAAGAGCCAAAAATGTACAGGAGACAAAAGCATGATATTTGCCTTTTAAATGTAGTGGGGTAGAGGGGCCAGTGACCTAGCTGGACAACCTCGGTTCGATCCCTTCCTGTGGTGTGAAAGTAATCAGTTTCCCTCAAAGACATTATTCAAGTAAAGATCAGATACTCCAAAAGATGTATAGAGTACAATACTGAAGTAAATTTACTGTTACTGTTCAAGACAGGTTAATAGTATTAGCGACAACAGTAAAATATTTGAATAAGTATCCCCAATATTTAAGTCTAGGCTTTAGAGTTTCTGATACAAAGTTGGAAAACAACAGAGTAATGAAGCTGATATCTCTCTGAAGTTCCTGTCTGCTCTCTGTGCATTTATGTCTGTTTAGTTAAACCTGACAAACTTAAATTAAAGACTCATGCCTTTGGTGATTTGCTTTTCATGTTTTGTAAGCCATGCACCCCTTTTGAGTCTAAAAGAATGGCTACTTTTTGCTAGTCTAGTCTCAAAATACACAATAAGGAGACTCTCCCTCTGTCACTGTTACCTGGTGGTTCTGATGGCCAAATTCAGCCCAGGGTGGATGGATCTAGGCGGTATCGATCTTGCGCTCTTTGTTTTCACTCTTTTTGGCTTAACCTCAGCTGGTTTGCTTTACAGCAAAGAAATAAATAAATAAAAACAACAGCCCTCTACTCCTTCTGTTGGGTCTCTGGGAGTGTGTTGAGATTGGAAAGGGCCAGAAATCATAGAGGTGAAGGAATGTGTGTCCAGAGATTACCTCTGAGGGGAAGTTCTGCAGGCTGATAATTGGGAGGAGGGGTGAGGAAATGTGAGGCGGCTGTGCTTTTGTTGTGGTGTGATTCATCAAGAATACAAATGTTACCTAAAGGACTATTCTGCATTTTCAGGATTTATTTTTGCTGCTCTAATAGTTATAAGAACTATCAGGAAAGGTTAAGGTCATGCTTTGATTGTGTGTATGTGTGTGTGTGATTGTGTTAGTGGCTGGTTTGCTGTCTGGCGACCCTCTGCGTCACAGTAAATCAGCTCGGTGGCTGGAGCAGGTGACATCGGCTGTATTAGTCTGCAGGCTGACCCTCTCTCTATGGGGGCATTATTTCTGATGCTTTTAAGCAGAGGGCCGGTGCCCATGGCAATTTCCCTCATTTAATATTGTCTGGACAAACCACTGAAGTGTTATGGTTTGATCTTTTATGTCTCTCACACAGCCCAAGATAAATACTTTGAGAAAATGGCTTTTCTCCAAAGGAGTGACATGCTCCGTCTTTATGGGACTTTCTTTGTTTAACTTGGTGATTTATTTGTCCACTAAAAGGATTTATAGCCTATTCCAGACCAGCTCGGCCCTCCGTGTCCTCTTACTGTGTGTCCACACCAACTGTGTTTACATTTAATGTGTCTCCAAAGAGCAGAAGGAAAACTTCCTTGTTTTGATGGTCCTGTTCAATTTCAAATTATTACCTCATTTCAGTTGTGCTACCAGACAGAGGAACAACAGGATTTCAAAATGAGAGAAATATTAGGATTCATAAATATCTCCAAAGTAGCCTCTTGATAGTTTTGAATGACCGCTAGCCCAAGATTGAAAAGCCTGTATTTATCAAAGTTAAATGGACTTCAATTTGCCACATCAGGTCCCGGAGGGAGAATTACCTTGACTCAACACAGTGTAGCACTTCTGCCCTCCTCTGGATCAGCATGAGTATTACAAGTGTTGACAAGATCCTCAGCTCATAAAAATAATTATGAATATGCCCCCTGAAGGTTGGAGTGCGTATTATTACAATGACTGTTTCTGTTAATCAAGTCAGCTTTGTTATGAATAACTGCTTCATTCACGTCTTCAGGCCTAAAGCTCTTCTTCTGCCACCTGATATATCCTTCATTTTATAGGAGCTGCAAATTAGTTTTTATTTCTGTTCAAAGATTGAATGTGTTTCCTTGTTGAGCAGAAAACAGGATTAGTGTCAGAAACTAAACAGAAATCACACGGCAGGATATACGAGCACACACATGATTTAATATATTTTTAAAGCCCTTAAAACAAAAAATAAAAAGTCCCGTGAGATGTTAAGCTGAGCAACTATCAACCTTTTCATTTTTAAGCACACTGAGTGACTTTGGACGAATGTGGAGGGACTTTTGTGAAAAATAAATGTGATCGTGTTTACAGGAGTGGCATCAAAGTTTTGTGAAAGGCTGTTTCTTCTTGGAGGATGATGGGGGCATCAGCTCTTTGCAGTACCAGCTCCACATCCCACAGACCAGCAACGTCTATCTGACCATCCAACCGCTCAGCCTCAACAACAGACCGGGTACAAACACGGTTTTCTTTTAAACAAACAACAATATTAGAAATGTACTGCACGTTTGAATTAGAGATTCTGATTATTAAATATCTATATAATGTAATATATATTAAAAAATATATTTTTTATGTTTATTTTATGTTTATTTTTGTCACAATTTTCTCAAAATCCTAAAATCCTTCTGTATTTTCCGCCTCTGTACAGACAAACCCTCTCCGTGGATGACAGTGGATACGGCCCTTTTTCTCATATCAGCCGGTGAAACCAAAGAGGATTCAACTTTAGTTTGTTTCACTGAGTCCAAAGACAAAGAGGTGGGTTTGAATGGACTCAGCCAACACAGTGTCACAGGCCACTTTATTAGGTACACCTTGCTTGAATCAGGTTGGACCCTTTTTTGCCTTTAAAACAGCTGTAATTCACTGTCTTTAGAGATTTTGGTCCATTTGAATGCAGTGAACTCATTTATGCTCAAGAAGTCTGTTTGAGATGATCCAAGCTTTGAGACCTGGCGCATTACCCAGCTAGGAGAAGTCTTTAGTAGATGGATACACTATAGTTGTAAAGTTATAAAGTTAAATCCTAAGGAAGCTTTGTTGAACCAGTTTTTCTCTTTCTCCCTGCAGAAGTATATTTGGAGAGGAGAGTTGAATGCTGGGACTTACTACCTGCTTCCCTTCACTAGCGGCTGCAAACTAAAGAAAAGAACCAAAAAGAGTCTTTCTGTTAAATCCGTGGAGCTCATCTACAGGACTGATACTGGAGAACTAGACCTGACCAGGGAGCTGAGGTATGTGCTGTTTGTTTGTGTATTTGCATGTTGTTGGGGGGAAACAAAGACATTTGAGACATCTTAGACTCGTGAATGAGACCTGAGGTTGCAGATTGATTCTACAAAGTTTTAATATTTGAAGCTGTGCTGTAGTTTCAGGGCTGAAGGGAAGCCTGGACTGCTTTTCTCTCTTGGTTACAACCACAACAGTTAGATGCCTGAATAAATTGATGGGTGCATGAGTGGAAATTTGGAGGAATAAATAAATTGAGGCTTTTCTGGGTTAGGCTGCGTCTCAATTCTCCCACTAAGCCCTTACACTTGGCCCAAACCTTCTACTCTGTGTGGGAGCATGGTTTGGTGGTCGTCTAATCTTCCAAACAGCCGTCTTAAATGCATTTTTTTTTCCAGATGTACACCCCAGAAAGAACAGAACAAGGAAATAACTGCGATGTTTTCATAACTGTAAGAACATACAGTAGCTGTTTATGAAGGAGAAAGACACCCATGCCTTTACTTATTAATACATAAAAATCAAATCCCTCAAGATAAGATTTCAACCTCTTCCCTGTTCACTCCAGCCAGAAGAGTTAGTCCAAAAGCAGGGTTTTATTAAAACTGAGGCAGCACTTTCAAGTCCAGTGTGTCACATTCTCTTTGTGTTTCTTCCTTTGTCCACAGGGAGGTGCTGTCCGACATCTTTGAGGTAATCGACATAGATGGAAACGGCATGCTCAGCCTGGAGGAGTACAACTTCTTCGAGCTGAGGACCAGTGGAGAAAAATGTGACGAGGACGCCTGGGTCGTCTGCAAAGGTAATCAACCTCTCTGCTGCCTGGATGGAGGCGTTAGCCAGAGTTGCACTGATGTGATATGAAACAAAGGGAAGACTGATCTCTACCGGCTCTTTCTATTCTGTTTTTGTCATTTCAGAAAACTTTGATATGAGGAAGAATCAGCTGACACGGCAGGGCTTCATGGAGCTGAATCTGATGGAGGTCACAGAGAAAGATGGAGATCCCACAGACCTCTGGGTCACACTGGAGGCCATGGGCTATAATCGAATGTTGGAGCTAGTAGAGGTACTTTGACACCTCTATTCTGCTGTTACTCTGATTAATCACATTCAGGCACTTCACATACATCATTTTCCCTCTCACTTGGATTATTAGGAGTAAAAAAAATAAATTTAGATGGTAGATTTAGCAAAGTTTTTCTGCCAAAATAAGGAGAAGCCTTTTCATAGGGTCAGGAACTGATTTCGCAACAAAGTTTTTCTGTTAAGATATCCCGATAGCTGCTCTCTGAATAACATGAAATTTTTTTTTAAAGTAGTCCAACTTTTTTTAAATTACTGTGTACTGCTGTGTGATTTGGATGCTCTGTCTAGTTTGGTCCAAACTTCGCTAAAAATGTTCAGAAATAGTCTTTTTTCTGCTTATGTTCTTTTGAAAATTGTCAAGTTTGAACAGGCAAATATGTCACTACAGAAATCTTTGATATGATTGTATTCTTCTGATAATAATTGCTGATATACTGTGCATAAATGAAAGTAATAAAAATACATACAAAGAGATATGCACCCACACTTGTCTCGTACTGACTAATCAGACTCTTCTCTCTCTCGCTCTGTCAGGCATGTCCCTTCCAGATAGACGTTCACTGTGAAAGCACTCAGCCCTCCATCCAGACTCTCAGTTTGGACTCAGGGCCAAAACTCCTGAACCAGGCCATCCAGAGGTCCATCACAGCCAGTACAGGGGCCAAAGCACTGAGGGGCCAAGACAGCATCTTCGTCTACACCTACAGAGGGGAACACAGGATCTCCTCCCTCATAGCTAACAAGGTAGACGACAAATATTGCTATATCTGAGTGGTTATCTAGCTGTGAAGGTCATGTTTTATTTTATGATAAAGAAATCCAAAGTGTGAAGTAAGGACATGGTGGAGTTGTTTTGCAGAGAGTTGTGTAAAGGCTCACTTGTTCTACAGGCTTGTGAGGTTTATATGCAGCCCTCGTGTTGATTCTCATAGCAACAGGAGCAACTCAGAAAGTATGACTTCTTAACCAGAGGGACCTCAGAGTTATCCACTGAGCTACAGTGATATCAGCTGTTTTCAAGGCTCATAAGTAATGTGCTGTTCTGTCTTGTTGGCACATTTATTGACCACTAAATTTGCAGTGTGAACAAAGTTTGGTTCATGGGTGAAATTTTCAGCTTGAGATTAAAATAATTTTACTTTAGCTGGTATTTTATAAGTAATAATGAAAAAATTGGAAGTGTAGCAGAGTATATATTTTAGATCAGCGGGATTTGTTTGTTTAGCTGTTGCTAAGTATTTCTGTATAGTCTGAGTCCACTGTAAAGTGTGGACACCCTCTGTGTTACAGACCAACCAGAAAGTGACGGTCCACATTAACAACGAGCAGAGCAGGAACTGCTGCAGTAGCAGAGGCATGAGTGTGTTTGCTGTGGAGGTGCCAGCCAGGAAAAAAGTGGTATGAAGTCTTCTTACAACTGATAACATTGTTTGCCTGTAAGCTGCTGTGGAGTAATAGTAAAAGTAGCATGAAAGGGGGTACCCCAGTGACACTTGGGTACCCTTAACCCTGTATTTACGTTGAGCATACAAATTATTAATTTCACCATTTGTTTTGTTCTCTGTCTTTCAGTTGTGCCAGCATGTCCTCCCTATCAATGAGAAACAGGACTGGACCTACAACTGTATGGAGACCATGCTGCCCTGCATGTAAAGCATCACCTCCATGGAGAGCTCAAAGCTTGGTTGTAACGGAACACAAGACGAATACAAATAGTTCTAGATCTGCTTGGAATGTCAAAACTGTTTTAAATGGTGGACAAAATGATTGTTATTCAATTTTTTACAATGAAAACCTTTTTTAAAAAGTGTTTTCAAAAGCGCTATGATTCTGTCTACGACAGTAAGAGACCTTGGCCTGCTTATAGTCAGTCTGATTGTTACATTAGCTGTTTTTATTGTGCCTTTGTGTGTGTGACATGTAAAAATCATCATAGGGAGAAATAAAAGAAAATTGTTCATAGTTTTTCCTGCAAATGTTATATTACCGCCTCAGATTTTCCTTCACTTATGTATGACTGCATCCCTCCCCATAATGCCCAAGATGCTGAACATGAACCCAGTGGTCGCTACAGTAACTATAGTTTCTCCTGTTACTAAGATCAGACGGGTTCACTGTGTTTGGATTACTGTCCTTGGAAAGTCAGCTCAGGGGAGCAGGAGATTTATATCCACCCAGTCATGGAAAACCTGCATTTCTTTCAGCTCTCCTCACTGCACAAGCAGCTCCTAGCTACAGGGTTATGTAAAAGTTAATAAGTTTGATTAGACTGTTCTGCTGCTAATAAAATGTCAGGACTAAAATAGCTGTTTAAATCTAAATAAAACATGTTTGAACCTTGTACTCTACACTTAAAGTGTTCTGCATAAAATCTGCCACTGTGCAGCTTTGATCACCTCTCTCCATACTGTTAATACAGCAGGTTTCTCTGAGGACTCAGTGCTGGCATTGAAATGCATTCCTTTGCATTGCGCTCAGGTCTAAACTTTATTCGCCCTTGGCCTTTCAGGCTGAGAACAGTCTTGACCTGCTATTTATATCCCTCAGGCCATTATTTGCCCTTTGACTTTCTCTGCTGAAACAGAAGAGCGCTCACTAAAGGTCACATGGCATGTGAGATGTATTAAACGTCTCGAGCTCCTATCTGCTCTTCCTTTCCAAAAACAGAGGTTAAGTAACATTTGACAGCTCAGGGAAACACAGATTTCAGGGCGTATGAGCCAATTGAAATTTCTGCTGGATGTAGAGGTTAAAACTGGATGTTTAATGATTATTATGCATGTTATATTTTTAGATTTGAAAAAATTGTACTGGTTCCTGTTTTGTGTTATTGTTTCCTATAAAAACAATCTATCATTATGGGTGCAGCTTTATTTCCTTGCTGAACAAATCAGTGACATGCAAACACACCCCTCTGCCACCTCCCTGACTGCAGGTCTGACATTAAACTTTGTTCTGCTCTGGATGAACAAACACACCGTGATGCAACATGCAAACAGCAGAAACCTGAAGTGGATGATTTCACAATATTCTACCTGCAACAATTTGTCCTTTCACTCAAATAAAGGTGATTTGTAATCTCATTCTGTCTGAGTGTTTGTAGGACTGATTTTGTGAGATGCTAATTATAGCCAGCTTGCTTGTTGGAGAGTGAAATCATTTGTGTTCACATTTTCTTCCCTTTAATAAAGTTTAAAAAACAAGCCTTGCTGTCACTGACCTTTCTTTGAATGGCACTTGACCTAAGAGTACAAAAGTCCGTTGAGACATGAGCAAATATGAAGCTTCATAAATCCTTTGACATTTTTAACCCATAATGTTACGATTTCAGTACACAAGCCAACAACAAAGTGAGTACAAAATAAAATGTATATGCATGTCTACTGTTTGATTTCAGTCAAATATCTATGACAACAGGAAGAGACTTTTTGTCAGTTAACACCACTTTCACAAGGATAACACAAAATCAGCACCAATGTAAAGATTACCACTTGTCCACAGAGGGCACCAAAGTCAACATGAGTCAAATCAAGGCAAAGTTTCTCACAGGAGCTTTAAGTCACAGCCCCAGCGCCATCATCTTGTGGAGTCAATTTCAGGGTGAGGTCATAAGTCATACAAATATAGTCTTGAAATAGACAGCAAAATAAATATTAACACTTCCAGACCTCATCTATAAAACAGGTGTCTCTCCTTCATATCATCATATCTGTGGTTTTTAAAAGTAAAGTTTATGTTGGAAGTGGCTGAATGCTGTGGTGGTATCTTCTGATCGTCACCATCTATGCATTGCCAGTGAGTTTATCAGTTAATGACAACAATTTGTCAGATAACTTAAGTCTTGGACCTTTGACCCGAAGCAGTAAGAATACATGACAACAATATGCAAGTTCCCACCCTTTATTTGGTCTATTGGTCCACTCCATCTAAAGAGCCGCCCCTGCTCTGTGGTGCAACCCTTTCTGTGAAGGTGGTTGGGAGAGCATGGGTATGGTGGCCGAGAACCGCCACTGCTGCAAATAAAAAAGAATACAAGAAAAAAAACACAACTGAAGTTAACAATGCAAAACATTTTTTTTTTGCATCTTTAATTTCCATCTTGGCTTTTTTTTTATCTGCACCGTTTCTTTTTTTTTTTATTATTTGCAGCAGGCTTTGGTTTCTTTCTTTTTCTTTTTTTTTTTTGCATTGCCACTTTTTTGCGTCGTAAACTTCCATTGTGGCTTTTTTTTATTTATCTGCACCGTTTCTTTTTTTATTTGCAGCAGGCTTCAGTTTCTTTTTCATGCATCGGTACCTTCTGTTGTGACTTATTTTTTTATTTTTTATTTTTTTTGCATTCCTTTTTTATTTACAGCAGTGGCGGTTCTCGGCCACCGTACATGAATAATATCTTGAACACCTTGGACATGGCCCTGGGCACCTTTTGATTGCCACTGTGCTCATTCATTTAACAATACACTCATTTATTCAGTCACTTACTCATTAAAATAAACCCAATTTTCTCAGACTCTGTTTTTTTTCAGGGGTACAACCTCTTCATGATCATGACTTGCCCTTTAAACCGAGAGGCGGATCTGGGAGGGGGAGTTGTCCGGTGTGTACGTGCGCATGCTTTGACACTGCAGTCGCCTGCTGCTGCTGCAGACTGCGGATCACACAGGGGTGACGGGAGGTGCTCACTTGGGTGTCAAAATGGTGAAAATAACCACAGTGAAGACTAAACCGTACACGGACCAGAAACCCGGGACGAGCGGTCTGAGGAAGAGGGTGACGGTGTTCCAGCAGAACCAGCACTATGCGGAAAACTTCATCCAGAGCATTATCTCTGTCATTGAACCCGCCGAACGACAGGCTGCCACCGTGGTGGTGGGAGGAGACGGCAGGTTCTTCATGAAAGACGCGATTCAGTTGATCGTCCAGATTGCTGCTGCTAACGGGGTCAGTTTGAAAGAGAGAGAGGGGACGCTGTTTGCTGGTGTACAATCATTAGCTCAGGCGGCTAGCTAACGCTGCGTTCATGTACCTCTCAGATGCTCGGAGTTCATAAGTTTTCAAGTTTACTCTTGGTCTAAGTTGAATTTAGAAACAACACAGATGACATAAAACACGTTATCGTGTCTTGGAGAAGGTATCTCTTCATGGACAGTTATCTATCAGATAAACCGTATTTTTAGCTAGCTTAAACGAATTATACGTGCCTTCCCCAGTTGTCCATATTTTCCCTATAGGAAGATCATTTTCCCCATTTTTCTCTGAATGACACACACTCGTCATTAAATGAACCCTAAAGTAATTGCATTATTTTCTTAACATTTTCACTTCACTGTCTTATATTGTTTGAAATTTGGTGGGCTTGTGTTGCTACTTGTTGGTGGTCCTATAAGATATGATAACTGTCATGTAACGAAGGCAGTTAGTAACTTTACGTCCTTTACGTAACAAAATACTGCTTATTTAAAACGTCTTATAAGGTACAGAGCAGAGTCACCGCATGATATAAATATAACCGGTTTTGCTGGAGCCCAAATGGGTCTCTCTGACAGGTTACCTTTGACATTTAACGCTACATGCTTCCACCGAGCATCAACTTCTCGCTTCCTCGTTAGGTGATTAAATCTAACGGCAAGTCCTAGCTTGCACTATTACACAAATGTGCAAAGACAGGTTTGATTGTTTCTGTTAAAGGAAGTATCATAGCATTTTTAAGGGTAGTGTTGTTGTTTCATAAGAAGCCATGGTGGAGTGATGCCATCATAGCTGTAGTCACAGTGATTGTGCTGCTGCTGCTGCATCCGTTTTGGGCGAGCAGGAGGCGTGACGTGCTACGTGCAGCTGGTCACGTTGCCCTGCATATGTCTGTGCAGCATGAATGAGGCTGTGCAGTGAATGAATTGATAGAACATACAGTACTATTGTTATTTATCTGACTTATTCAGTTTATAATCATATGCATGTATCACTTCTGAAGTATGTTAAGTTGTAGGTGTACAGTACCATACTTAGAAGGATGTTGTGGTTGCTGTTTTGACCTTATCTGTGACCTTTCCTCCATGACACAGCCGCTCTGTGTCTAGTAAAGCTTCTGCAAAGCTTGGTTGGTTAACGCAGGGTTTGTTGGTGATGCAACATGCGCAAAGATGTCTGATGTTTCCTGCAGTTTCTCCACAGGAGGTTGATAAATGAAATAGTGGAGAAAGTATGCAGGGACAGTGGTTCTTCTGTTCAGATGTTTACTCAACACAAACAGCTGCATGTTTAAATAAATAGGGGAGAGTGGGGTAAGATGAGCCATTTTTCATATTTTGAATATCTACATTAAGGCAATCATAGTTTTGTCTCTATTGTATCTGCACAAATTTCAAAATGTTGTGCATCCCTGCAAACCAACAGAATGAGTGTAAACATAACTGTCTTGATAATATAGCATGCCAAAAAGAATTGGTCTCCTATGAGCAACTTACCCCGTGTATGGGGATGTTTCCTTGGCTGACTGGCACCTTACATAGGATTCCATGCTAAGAATCTTGGTTTTATTATTGATGGGGATTTAAAACTAGACAAACAGTTCAGCGAAGTGGTCAAATCTCCAAAGTTAAATCATATTTAAGCCAGAAGAACCTTGAAAAAGTTATCCATGCTTTTATCACATCTCGTTTAGATTATTGCAACTCCCTGTATGTCGGCATTGGCAGATATTCCTCCATCCTTTTCAAAAATCTAGGGGAGATGAAGCATTTTCTGTCGTGGCTCCCACCTTGTGGAGTGCTTTACCCCCTGACAGTGCGTACTGCGAATTGCCTTTCTACTTTTAAAACACTTCTGAAGATGTACCTGTTCATTTTAGCCTTTGGGGCAGTATAGTTGCTTTTATTGGGTCTTTTATTTACTGCTATGTTTATCTTTATTGTTGTTTTATGTTTTTATATGTTTTCTGCTTTTATTGTTTTTATAGTTTTTATAGTTTTTTATTGCTTCTGGCTTTTTTACTGTATAGCACTTTGGTAGGCCACTGGCTGTTTTTAAAAGTGCTATACAAATAAAGCTGACATTGACATCAATTAAAAAGCACATCATGTAGAGAGTGATGCACAACCGGACCTGGGGCTTGAAACATTCTCATCATTTTGTGAATTATGGAAAAGTGTTAAAATTTGCATAAATTTGACAGTTACTTAAAAATCAGTCAACTACAAGACACATTTATGCTGTTACTGTACAACCTGTCTCTGCTCTCCTGCTTTGTCCTTTTCCTTTTACTGTTTTTCTCATTGCAAAGTAAATTAAAAAGGAGCATTAAACTAAAACAATATTAATCTGTGGCATCTTTTATAGCGTTTGGACATGTTGAACCTGGTATTAATCATAGACATGTCACAGAGTAAACAGTATTTTAATTAGAGCTTGCTTTGGAAGCTTTAAAATGACTGTCACTATGGTTGCAATAATATGTGCTTTGTTCTCTTATCAACATCAGCTAGTGACCACTAATGTGTCCAAACATACTCATAACATAGAATAGGATAAGAGGAACATTGTGCCTGCACTTCAACATGCTTTCCTTCAAGTGTGTATTTTTGTATTAATCAGTGTGCTCTTGTTTATTGACTCCTCCTTTTCCAGATTGGTAATCTGGTGATCGGTCAGAATGGCATCATGTCCACCCCAGCAGTCTCCTGTGTGATCCGCAAGATGAAGGCAGTGGGTGGCATTATCCTCACAGCCAGCCACAACCCCGGAGGCCCCAACGGAGACTTTGGCATCAAGTACAACATCTCCAGTGGAGGTGAGTGAGCAGCAGACCGTTTAAGATATCAGGTATTCATCGCAAAGTAAGACGATATGTGGACTCGGACTAGATTTCAAGAACAAAGAACAAAACGTAATGAAACTTTTAGAACATTATAAACTTTGTCAACCATGCAACATACTATACTTTATATGATGTATGTGCATTGCAGTAGTCGACAGTGGGGTAATATGTAATCACCATGTTGAAGCTCCTGTGAGGAATTTTGGTTTGTGTCAACTCTTGCTAATGAAACAGACTCAATCATATTGATGCTATTAAGATAAGTTTCAAACCTGTTTTAGATCTACCTGGGTCTGCCTGGACCCTTTAGACCCTTACATTTCTTCCTTTGCCATTACTGCATATCTACAGTCTGTTCATCATAAATATTTGTCTGTCAGAAAAGGTTCAGCTGCTAAAAATGAAACATTTGAATCACATTTGTTAGTTTATTTGTTAGCTTGTAATCTACATTAAGCCAGTCATGTATTTGCTCTAAAACCAGTGATAATCCAGTTTTGATTATTTCAAAGTCTTTGCCTGGATTAGGTTGATCTGATTTGTTGTGACTTTGAAAACAAAGCCCACAAGTAAAATGAAGTTTATTCAGGATAGCAGTAGTAGGATTTCAAAAACTGTATCCGTCTGATAAAGACGTTCCCAGTTGTCATATGACCGTACATGCTAAATAGATTCTGACTACTTTGTTTTCATTCAGCCACATCAGCTGCCAAACTGTTTATTCTGTCCATGTGTAATGTCTCACTTTCTTCTTTGTCTGCAGGACCTGCTCCAGAGGGCATCACGAACAAAATATTTGAGATCAGCAAAAGCCTGCAGGAGTATCACATCTGCCCGGAGCTGAAAGTGGATCTGGCTACCATTGGGAAACAGACATTTGAGGTGGAAACTTTCAAGCCCTTCACAGGTATGCCACAGAGAGCAGAACCCTGATCCAACATGAATGAGAAACAGTTTAAGATTCACTTGCTTGCCTTCTTGGATTGAAGATATTTAGCAGCAGACTCAATCCTCTCAGCTTTTTACTGCCATATAAGCTGTGCTTTCCTGTTTTTGTGTCTCAGTGGAGATTGTTGACTCTGTGGAGGCCTACGCTGAGATGCTCAGGGGCATTTTTGACTTTGCTGCACTGAAGGAGCTTCTCTCTGGAGCCAATCACATTAATGTCCGCCTGGATGCCATGCATGGAGGTAGGGAACAGCGAAGCACAACTTCAGGTGTAAGTGAGTCACAAAAGACAGAGGCTGTTTTCTAAGACTTTCTATCCCCGCTCCAGTGGTCGGTCCTTATGTGAAGAAGATCGTCTGTGAAGAGCTCGGTTCTCCTGCCAACTCTGCGGTCAACTGTGTCCCTAAGGAGGACTTTGGAGGACACCACCCTGACCCCAACTTGACCTACGCTGCTGACCTGGTCAACGCCATGAAAGGAGGAGAGTACGACTTTGGAGCCGCCTTTGACGGTGATGGTGTAAGTCAAGTTTTTCAAGCAGAAAAGACAATTTCAGAGTGATTGAGAAACAGAAAACCCACAGGTGCTTTTAAAATAATCCTGTTTAAGTCAATTTGAAAGAAATCTTTAGGTTTTCACTGGGACGGTCATTGTCTGAGCAGGGTCAAACACTTTGACTCTGTCCTTCACACTCTCACATTTTCTTTTCTTAATATCATCATTAAACTGAGGTACATTAAGAACTTTAATAGCCAGAAGGTTCTTTTTGTAGCTGAAACTAATGGCCTCTGTGTCATAACAATACTCATTGTCCATTGACAAAACATTAGATGACAGCTAAACAGGAACACAAGAAGGCACCGGGGCTCAGCTGTGATCTGATGCTAAAATTTGGGAGAGCAGAATTGGATGTTCTTGAACAGGACTCGAATTTATGATGTCAGCTCACATAAAATGAATTAAATAAATCTGTTTTATTAAGCTCTAAACTTCGTTTTAACTTTATAGACCAGAGAAACAAACTTTAATCAGGATGTAACTAAAGTGAACTCATCTATCTTTGGCAATATTTTTAGTTAGTTTTCTGTGTTTCTCAAGCTTTGCCACAGACATTTTCTTTTTAGTGCAAGAGAAAGGCTAAGCTTAGGTGTATCGTAGGATGCTAATAGTGAAAATGAACCTGCATATCAAATTTTCACTTTCAAAAATATTTTTTGAGATATCTGTTTGAAGACAACTTAACGTTTGTCTCTGCATCTTGTATCAAATGCAAACGTCTAAGGAGAACTGTAATGTTTCCCGTTGACAGCTTTTTTCACATTACTTGTCAAATTACTTGTCTGTCGTCCCCTGCATTTGACTCTTGTTGTGTCTTTTTCACTCAGGACCGTAACATGGTGCTGGGTAAACACGGCTTCTTCGTGAACCCCTCAGACTCTGTGGCCGTTATTGCTGCAAACATCTCCGGCATCCCTTACTTCCAGAAGACTGGTGTGAAAGGACTGGCCCGCAGTATGCCCACCAGTGGAGCCCTGGACAAGTAAAATACTCACAGCCAATTAATTCCTCTTCTTCTTTTCTAACTCCTGCATTAAAAACTGAAAAATGAATAATTGTTTGTCAATCTGCTCCAGTGTGGCTAAAGCTCTTCAGATGCAGCTGTATGAGACTCCAACTGGCTGGAAGTTCTTTGGGAATCTGATGGATGCTGGAAAACTTTCACTGTGTGGAGAGGAGAGCTTCGGCACAGGTTAGCAAATATCATTGTAGTCATTATAAAGCCGGAACTCTACCAAAGTAAGGCTGTGTCTCACCTCTTACATTCTCTCTATTCTTCCTCTGCTGACCTCAGGCTCTGATCATATCAGGGAGAAGGACGGTTTGTGGGCGGTGCTTGCATGGTTGTCAATCTTAGCCACCAGGAAACAGAGCGTGGAAGACATCATGAAGGCTCACTGGCAGAAATTTGGAAGAAACTTCTTCACCAGGTCAGGAACGATTCCTAATCCTTTCTGTAAATTTATGTGTGAGTTAATTAAGAGCGTGTGTCTTGATTGTTTTAGATCCAGGACTTACTTTGGTTGATGCAGTTGCAAAAACACCTGTTGATATTTTAAGGTTGTTTTTTGTTCATATGGTACTCTGGCACCATCTGGTGGTTGATAAGAGAACTGCAGCACACTTTGGCTTGGAGATATTCTCATTGGGAGGCTTATAAACAATTATTCTGTGACTAAATGAGGAAATCTTTAAAAAATATTTATAAAACCAAAACTCAAAGTGTCTAATTTTTAGAGTCTAGTGCTGGTAAGACTCCATATTTGACTTTTCTATCTCATCCAGGTACGACTATGAAGAGGTCGACTCTGATGCCGCCAACAAGATGATCAAAGACCTGGAGACAGCAATGTTTGACCCATCCTTCAAAGGGAAGAGGTTTTCATCGGGGGATAAGACGTACGAGGTGGCTGTCGCTGATAATTTTGCCTACACAGACCCTGTGGACTCCAGTGTATCCAAAAACCAGGTGAGAGGCTGCAAACCAAGGCCCACCAATACTAATAGTCAAACTTTCTTTGTGGGGAAATCAGGGTTAAAGTTCAAGCAATACTTGTAATTTTAATGGCAATTCGTTTGTACTTTCATCAGTTATTAAGGTTTATTGTCTTTTGGATTAGATAAAACAAAGAGATGACCACAAAAATACACAAATATCAGTGTTTGCATCAGCTAATTTAGTCCTGGAACAAAGTTGAAAGACTTAAAATGAAAGAAACGATTGATTTTTCTGAAACATGATTGAAATTGGCCCACAGCCTATTGATTACGATTAAAAACAATGTCACGTATTAACCCTTATCATTTTGAGGCAGGGCCACCACATTTAGATATTTATACTTAGTTTAAAAATCAGACCGTGGACAGCCCATACAGGTGTACCTCCATGTTTTCTGGTCTATTATGCATCTTCATCTCTCGTGTCTGTCAATAACCCTCCCTTCTTCTTCTTCTTCTCTCTTTCACTCTCAGGGTCTCAGGATCATCTTCTCTGATGGCTCGAGGATTATTTTCCGTCTCAGCGGTACAGGCAGCGCGGGGGCAACAGTCAGGCTCTACATAGACAGCTACGAGAAGGATCCCCAGAAGATTTACCAGGATCCCCAGGTCAGGATACTGAGCAGTAATCTCAGGCAGCTAGATCCAGAGAGAGATGTTTGACATGAAGTCATCAGATAGAAAAACAAACACTCATTCAACCAGGACTAGGATTTCTTAGCCCTAAAGTTTTTGTGTGTATGGAAACCACAGAAACAGAATAGAAAATGAAGATGCTAATACAGTCTGTTGAGGTCAAAGGTCAGCTCTGTAGCCCGTAGGACAGCCAGCGTGACCTTAGTGGAGCTTGTATTTTACACTGAAATGATGGAGATGTTTGGCAGAGTCTGAGGTTCTAGCAGCTTATCAGGAGAGAGAATTATAGCTCATGGGAAAAAGAGAGAGTGATTTCCAGCAGGACACTTCATAAAGTCGTGTTGGACGTGTGCAGACGGGAGGTGATGTAGAACAAGAGAATGAGACAGGACCAAGAAAAAACGGATTAAAGTTCAACTCAAACCCTTCGTCTTCATTGGTGCTCACACAGACTGACAGATAAGCAGAAACACATTTCTGCAGAACCCTAACCTGACAGATGGATGACCTGAGGGTTAATGGTTCAGTTGGCCGACTCCGGGTTAGTTTGATTTACAGCTGCAGAGCCTTCCTCTGAGACAAACAGCCAGATTTTAAAAATAAAAGGGAGAGCATTTCATCCTGAAGGATCAAAACATTTCTGCCAAAGGATGTTGTCCTGAAAATCCCGAACATGCTGCTCCTTCTTTGTTTACTTTGGTGAGTGAAATGTAGTCCATTTATTCTATTAAGTCCTAAGGTGTTGATAGATTATCATTATTATAAGCTGGTCCGACTCCAAACTGTGGTCCTTAAATTGCGTCTCTACTGTGTGGTTTGGCACACAATTATTTGCATTTTTGTTGTCAGAGTTTGAGAAATGTACCAAAATATTAGACCAATAATGGCCAACTTTTTTGGCACCCTTCTGTTGGGACACTCAGGATGGAGAAACATCTTTGCACACCTGATTGTGTGGCAAATGTGTCAAAGGAGAAGGAGGAAGAAGCTCATACATATTGTCTACATATTTATCAATTAACACGATGTGAGGAGGTTAGAACATACCTTTAGGTTGCAGGGTTCCTACACAAATATGGAAGATATGGAAAAGTATGGAATAAATTGGACAAATTTTTAGGTCTTAAAAAGTATGTAAAATGAAAAATAAAATATGGAAAATACAGTTCTAAAATACTGTCTTCAAAAATAGAAAAGAAGGTACTTCCAAAAATAATTACACCGACTACACTTGAATTTGACAAATTTCGCTTACCACATCACCAAAGCTCTAAAATGGGCTTGTTTTTTGCCACCTTTTAGAAATGTCTATAATGTGGCCCTGATATATAATCGTAAATCACAGCTTCTGCAATCATACAAAGATAACTGTGCCTAAATAAGAAATACTTTTACATCTATGTTTTGGAATGGACGCACAAACAACATAGTGTGTTAGACAAAGTTGTGTTGTACCTACTTTTACACAGGTATCAGTCAAGCTAAAAATAACCTGAAAGGGGACAAACATACTCATCCTGGTAACATAAGACGTCAGAAAGTGCACACCCTGAAAAGATGGACCCACACAGAAAGTAAAACCTCCCGTCTCTTTGTGCAGGTGATGCTGGCCCCTCTGGTAGACATCGCCTTGAAGGTCTCCCAGCTCCACGAGAGGACTGGACGCTCTGGCCCCACTGTGATCACATGATTCCTCTGCCACACTGCCTCCGCTCACCCACACTCAGCAACGGGATACCTCTGCGCTCTCTGGGGGTGAAGCTGCCCTTGAATGCTGTCTTGGCTTCAGTTCTTGGCCTTCTCAGAGACAGAGCTGGATAAAATACTACAACTGAACTTACCCACTGCCATTTTTTAGAGTTAGAGTGTTTATGTAGACGTAAGATAATTTATCTCAGCATGTTTCATGTTACCTGGCAAACAGAAGCTGCATTTCCAACGCATATCCTTCCTGGGAATTAAGGACTTGTCGGTATACCTTTTGGTATAGAAATGCAAGTTTCCATCCCTTCCTGGGAGACCTTGCTTTCCAAAAGTAAAGGAACTCTGGTTGGATCTGCTGCACTAAACTTTTTAATCCTTAAAATGATGCACCTAGATTAAAAAGAAGCGGGTACTTTTAGTGGAACTTCAGCCACGTTTTCATGACAACAAGTCTAAACAAAAAAAAAAAGGAATTTAAGAAAGCAGCATCATATCCTTAGAGCAGAAAACTGAGCTTTAAATGTTGATTGTAACCATGTAACTTGTCCAGCTCTGTTCCTGAACCATATCATTATAGGCCAAGACTGCCAAACTGGCTATAGATCAGCAATATCAGGAGCAACCTCACCCCTCTAAAGTTTCCCTTAAATGACCTGGTGCCTTCCCCTCCCCTCTATTCTCTAAAACCACCAAAAACAGCCTCTAAACCTGAACCATAAACCGATACATCCTGCATTAATAAAATAACACTGTATAAAAGAAGTATTGTGGTCATGTTTTCAATCGTGAGTGCGTGCTATGAAATGCACTTATGCGCAAACAAACAAAAGAAATTATGCGTGCTTTCCTTAAAGAAACCAGCTGGTGGCCTGGCTCTGTTTGCTGTAGAATACCTTGGTTTTGGAAGGAGTCCACATGTGTAAAAGTGTGTGGGATGGTTGTAATAATGTAGAAATTATTCTAGATAAATGCAAAGCTTCTATCCTGCAGTGAGGAAGCCAAGTTGTGGGAAAAGCTTCCAGAAGAACCGAAATTCTCTCCAAAAAGACATTCCTGAGGCGAGCAGAGAAGCATCAACTGATGGATTCTCTCTCCTCCTCTGGTAAGTGTTCTTGTGTAATAAGATAGTCACAGTAATCCTGATTAATGATGAGACTAATATAGTGTATGCAGGTCAGCGGATCCCACAAGCTATACCGAAAGACAAACAGAAGAGAGATGAAAAATTGTCTTTGAATTGTTGGGTTTTCACCGGGTTAATGGATGAATGATGTTTGACTCGGCTCAGACAGTCTTGGCCTCCTCAGGTTCTGGATTGGTGTTGACTTATTCCTCGCCTACCCGCCGTATTTGGCTATAAATTGGCTACAATTTCGCTAATAGGAGTGAGGCTGAAAAATCAGGTGCATCCATGCGCAGCGGAGAGAAAATTAGCCTTAATCACGGATCCATCATCCATGACACGTTTCAGGCCAATTTCTGTCGAGTATGTCAGAGTTGTTCACGCTGACCAACGTGATCAGTTCAAGCTGTTAGCACTAACCTTCTCTCCTAAAGGCATGGAAAACAGCAAGAGTAACTGAGCTGGAACTAATAGACCATTCTGGTTCTCAAGTGTGAGGTAATAAAAAGTCACACTGCTGGCATTTTCACTTTCCAGTATTTTAACTGACGCAAGCTTTAAGACCTTAGTTTTAGGAAGTGTGCATAGATGCTGACACCACCAACTGGTTTGTAGAATACTACTACTGCCTTTTGTTTGACGCCATCTTGGACTTTTCAAAGGTGGAAGTGACCGTATCTGACTTTTTAGTAAGAGGTAGCTGTCATCAGAAAACAAACCTTGAACTCATCTGTTAAAGCTCCTGTGAGTTTTACTGTTAAGTCCACTCATTAAGAATTTTTCCTGTATAAAATGCAAAACGAAAAAGTCCCTTAGCAGTGTGGAGTGAGTCACTTCATCGGTGGATCCTTGTTTGGTTTGACCCTGCTGCATTAGTTTTTGGTATTAAAATGTCCGTCCAGGGGCATCAAAAATCTACTTCAGTTTGCTTTATAACCAGATAGATACTCCCTTACAGGAGTCTGTAGCAGTTTGCCTATGATTGTTTGCAAAATTCACTACAAGGGAGAAAAAATTACAGTCACTTTTTCGCTCTGCAGAAATTTGTAGCCAGTGTGGAAGCTTGCACTGACTTTATGAGGTTTTAAAAAAACAGCGAATTATTCGCTTTGCAAATTCACCCCAGTGTGTAATGACCTTTAATCTGACCATTACTAACAAGATGAATCCTATGCTGGATTGAGGAAAATTTAAAGCGAGGAAAAGCACAACTGGGTAGAAAATTTTTCAACCAGAGCACTTTCTATTTAACTCATTTAATAAAATAGTTAGGCTTAAATTCTGCTGTGATGTCGTACCTCTGTATTCCAGTTTTTAAGATGTTGGGTATCTGAAAATTGTTGTTTTGCTGCTTCACACTGACCAACTAAAGACAGTTAATTTTACTGAAATCTAGCAGCATATCAGGTCATCTTTCATAACTTTAAAACCACATTTTCGCTGACCCACTGGCAACCCAAAACTAAAGAATTTACTTCACATGAGAAAATGACAGAAATCACTCTGGATTTTCCTCATCCATTATCAGAAATATTAATATCACAACACCTTTAAAAATCTAGATATTTACCTAGACCAAAGTGGGCTTCTTTTTGGCTTGGCATTACATCAGAGGAAATCGACAGCCCTTGCTTTGAAGCCAGATGTTGTTTCTCCCTTGTACATATTCTATGCAGACATTTCAAGCGCGCTATCGTGAGTTAAATCTGAATGAATCTTTCTAATCCTATATCTGTGTTTACATTGCAAAGTTTTTCAGGCCTATTTTAAGCTTCAAAGGTACAATCTGTGGCATTCGGGATGTATAAATGCCCCAAACAGTTCCTCCGTATTCCCTCAGGAGTTACAAGAACAGGGTGGAAACTTTTTCATGTTACATCGTTCCCGTCAGGCTGACATAGTGCAATACATAATGTGTTCCTCTTGTTCAGCTCCTAATGGCTTACAGGCTGTATTTGAGTTGGCTGTCATTACATCAGGTAATCACAATAAGGCTTACATTAAGCTGGCCTCGTCTGCAGCTATTAGATGTCCAAATGGCTTTCCCTGGAGCTGGAATGAAGCCTTGTGTTTTTAAAGCAGGCTGTTCATTGCTCAACTGCAAGATGGGGGCAGTATGTAGGACAAAGACATCATTCTCAAAGTGCTCTAATGAGGAGAACGTTGGCTGTGCAATTTGTTTTTACTCCTCTGGCTCTTGTGGTTTTATTTGATTGTCCTCTTTTTTGCTAATGGACAATTTTGTGACAGCTGATGCAGTTTTCAGCGACAGGAAAGAGACTCCCTCTTGACCAAACTATGATAGCGTTTTTCTCACAGTTTGCCTTTTTTAAAACTAAGTAGCAATGAACCTGAAAATGTATTTGGTTTTTAATTCTTAATCATAGAAACTTCAGCTAAACTAACCTTTTAAAAATTAATTTCCCACCAATTTTCCACCCTTTAAGCATTAAAACATGAAAATTAAAAATGAATAACCTTAAATAAAAGGCCATTTTCTATTCTTTTTAGGTTCTGCAACCCCAATTTGTATGATTATTAACATATAAACTAGAGACTGTCTTGCCAAAGCAAAGATCATCTTGAGCTCCTCCTCTCTGGATGTGAACAAGCCCTGACAGGGTGCGTGAGGTTAACAAAGTCTCGATGTAAGGCCTCCATGTGAGTCATCACACTCTTTAACACTCTCCATTTTCTGGGTCTGCAGGGCTGAAGTGTTCAGGATGATGTGTGAGGCTATAAAAAAAAACCTGAACAGCAATGGTCTGGATTAGATGACTTGGAACATTTTTTGACCGCACATTTGAACCGAGCAGTGTGGCGACGAGGCTGGCTTGTGTCCACAGGCTGCTACGAATCCCCTCATCCATTTTATTCTGGCTTTCAGTCAATAAGAAGACAAATAGGCCAGGAAACACCACACTTCTATGGCCAATTGTCCCTGTAAGTGTGCGTTTGATGTAGGACCTCTGCAGGGTTTGAGCTTAAACAGAAAGTGAACATTAATACTTTTTATTAGACCGGAAATACTCTACTGTATGTGTTAACATCTTCAGTATACTAACCAGGCAACACTGTTATGACTTTTCTTCTTTTAGCCTAAATTTAAATAAACACTAGGCTATTTTCCTGACAAAGGCTGTCATCTTATCAGCTCAGTTTTCATTGGAGCTGCACTGGACATATAAACAGTATATGGTAAATGGAGCGCTCACAATCAAACCTGGTAATAGACTGTGTGTTGTGTGTGTTTACGGCAAGCAATTATCGTACTGCTGCCTGAAACTTTACATAACCTGCTCCCACAAGAGTTTAATCCTAGGAGTGGACGAATGATGAAAGACAGATTACTGTGTGATTTTTTTTATTTTAACGAACAGTTTGCAGTTAAAACTTTTTAAAAATATGTTCCTTTTTTCAGATGCAGGCAGAGGCAGAGTACTGAACTTGTAAAGTATCCTCCAGCTTGCATTTGTAGGAAATCTAAAACTGCATTTGGACACTGTTTTCCTCCAAAACCGTGCATGATAATATGTTGGGTTGTTATAGGTTATATAACAGTAAAGAATCTTAGATAGGCCTACGCATCTTTTTCAGTGATAAAACATGCAACAACTTAGGGTTAGCATGACGAAAACATGGCGAAAGTGAAGGCAAAATTAGTAACAATCAAACAGATATAATTATCTTAAATTGTATGAGCATTTAGAATGACTTAAATGTACTTTCTCTGAAACATTTGCAAACAAACCAGAGTAATTTTTTCGTAGCTGTACGGGATTTCCATATCAAGGCTGCATTTACACGTCTATGACAGCAGGTGTCACTGTTGCGCTACTTGCTGGATTCAGTCTGGACCGTTTTAGCGATTTTACACTAGCTCAGATAACCGATAGCAAAGAGCTGTTTTTATGGTAAAATTCAACAATTTGGTGGAGTTACTTGATGTAATAGTAACGTAATATTGGGTCAAAATGTAGTGTAATGTAGCTGACCTAATGTTAGCAGAAAAGTAGTTAAATGCTAACATAAGCCGATGTTTCACTGTCGCTAATTCATCAAAATATGGCTGGGTTATCCCTCCAGATTTAATGAATTGTATAATCCAAAAGTGTACAAATGATAAAAAATGTAGGATTCTCAGAAATTTCTTTGACGTACAACCTGTAGAACAGAAGTAGAATAAATAAAATCAGTATTTGAGGCTCCTACAGTAAAAAGAGAATGTCTGCTGTTTGAAGGGAGTAACTGGTGTTTAAAAAGTTGGCCAATGTAAATTAAAAACCATTCAGTATGGAAATAAACTGTGATCTAAATGGGGAGGACAGCTGGTCAGTTTTAAGGTTGCAATAATTGCACTGAGACCAATATAGACGGTCATCGTTTAATGATGTTCAAGCTAGTCTGGGTTAGGTTAGAGGCTGATTGAAGAATGCAAGAAATTACTATAAATTTGGAGGCGAATCCACAGAAAATCAAACTGAAGCACAACTTATAAGCATCATGCAAGAATTTGGAGGATAAACTAAAGTTTTGGAGAAACTTTAAAGACGCTGAGAAGATGTGACAGGACTTTCTTAAAGGCCATCATCACCCTCATCTTTTCATTTTCTTTTATTGACTCTGACACCGTTGCCAACGT